TGTCGGATTATAATGGCATACCAAGTGATGTAAAACAGTCTATCGTTTCTTCCACCGCGAGTCCTTTTATTTAATGTATTGTATTACTCATTATCCATTTCATTTGATACTCTCTCTTTTTCTCTCCCTTCCCCTTTCTCTTGTTAGAAGGAGTGTAAATAATTAAGCACTCAAAATCTGCATCACCAATCTTCAGAAAAAAAATAAATCAACGAACCAGTGGGCTGATCCACAACATCCGACCCAGCAGAATGAATCAAATAACAGCTAGCACAAATTTATATGCAGATAGCTAAAGTGTCACTAAATACATAATCAGCTGCACGCGCGAAGCTGTTGAACAAAAGGATTGTTCGCTACGGGAGACCGTTTGTTTACATAAGTACTCTAAGGGGGCATGGCTACCCAGGCGACCAGGGGGATTAGGCTAGTTACTATATGTCGTCAACAATCGTTTAGCGACCCTATCATTATACACTCCATCTATTATATTTTCCACCGCATTAATCGCAATGTAATCTTCAAATGGTCCACGGGATAAATATACACATTCTTAATACTAGTAAGGTAAATGGATGTCCCTTGAGTAATTTAAATGTACTAGTAGATTTGAGTTCGAGGCATTTTTTTCATATGCATTCACACCTACCGGTATATTTAAAGTGTTACATGTTAATGATTCTTCATCAAATTCAATAGTCTTTTACCGCATTTTATATTAGTATATACTACAGAATTCGTCTTACTATCGCACAATTACAATCTACTGCTTACTGTTTAATATGGTGATGTTTTGATATCCCCTAGCTTCAAGATGCAGACACATGGCAATACAGCCTGAATGAGACCGATCATACAGGTACGTTTTTCAGATTTGATATTTGCAACAGACTTTTTTTTCTTTTTATACAGTGAGCATGAACTTACATGTAAGCCCTTAGCCTTGAAACAACATTATGTTGTTTCAAATTGCGTAAATGTTGCAATACAATGTAGAGTATTGTTATCGGGTACCTGCATGCATCTCGTGCATTTAAGCCATTATTAGGCTTCCTTCTTAACCGGCAACATGTAGATCACACAAAATACAAGTGTTTCAAGCTGCATCTAATTTGGCACATGGATCATTTATCAAATAGACAAAAGCGTGAAGGCTTTATTTCATATTTATTTTATATCATTATGCACATACTGTGTACACATTCCGAGGGTAAAGTAGGCAAATATAGTCATTCTTAGCATTCTCTAAAATATTAAATATCTCAATTTACTAGGTGAAGCAGAACAACGGTACGAGTTATCCCGAGCACCTGATGGCATCAATCTCCGACGTCAACACCGCAGTGTACGTGACGTGGAGAGACAGCATGACAAGGTAGTGGAAAAGGTGCCATGCAATAAAGCACTGAATACTTTATTATGTGTGTTTCAAAATTCATTTTAGAACATACTGCCGTTGTATTACAACTTTACCGACGTACAAAAACAATATGTGACATCATGGAATGTCATATTATATATACATATCATCTAGGTGCGTACATAGTGATTGCATGTAATTGACTTAGTACAGGTACAGGTGTTTTATGTTACCTTAGTCTGGGGGGGGGGGTATTTATTGCACCATGGAGCGCAATACGTGGCTGCCCCAATTATACCATGTAGGTGTGCAAATTATAGGTTTGCAAAAGCAATATACTCTTACTTGTCCAGATTTTGTCATTCTGTTCTGTGTTGATTTTAGACGATGAAAATACACCGCACGGGGCACGTTGAACATGTAGTGGCCGTTGACAAGATATTGTTAAAAGACCAAACACCTCCTGAAAAGCGGCAACACCTCCAAAGGTACGTTGCAATGCAAGTCAAATAAATGTCCTGTAATAATAAGAAAGATTTTGGTCAACGCACACTACTGTGCGCAGTGGTTTTTATTTTGTTTACAAGGTGCCTTCAACGCAGTAAAACAATGTATACATATTGACCGTTCTTATATGAGTAAAATTTATAAATCATGATATCGAACCATTACAAGATCAATGTACATGTATGAGGCCATTCAGAACAGTATAGGTCTTCTTATCTTCTGTTCTGAGTGACCTCTATGTTTACCGTTAGAGTTTAACATAGCGTTTCCTTACTATTTTAGGAAAAGTATACCAGGAGAGAGAATAATCAAAGAAGACATAACCGGAGGTATGTAATGAAGGAAAAAATTGAGTATGGAGATGATTTGTGTACACACTCGTAATCAACCTTTAGCTCTGTAAGCAATTACTTCAGGGATACTACTGCTACTGCTACTTTTATTATTAGGATTCCCTATAGGGGAATACTATTGTTTTTCTTGTTCTTGTTCTTCTTTTTATTATAATTTTTCGTCAAAAAAAAATATTTCTAAAATTCTGAAAAAATTCATACTGATAGCCTATGAAAAGTTATTCCGGATTACCCAATTTCATTGATCTTGACCTCATTTTCAAGGTCACAGAGCCTTTTAGCTGTGAAGTTTTTGCAAATTTCAAAATGCAATATCTCCTAGAATTTTCAACATTTTGACAAATCCTTTCATAGGTGAGGTCATTGATTCTATATCAAGTGGCCTGATTTTAGGAAAATAGGTCATGTCGAGGTCAACCTATTGCATGATATGCTCCAAGTGGTTGACATTCGGCAGGGGGTAAACCAGATGTCACAGAGCCACAAGGATGATGTAAAAAACGCCGAAAATAAAAAAAAAAACACATCGACTATTACCGATATCCTCATTTTACACGATGGTTGCTTGCCTAGTTATTATGTGATAGTAAAATGAAATCTTTGAGTTCGCTTGCACTAATAATGTTTATAAAGAAGGTAGTGGTGACACCGTTGCTATACTGGTACATGTACCGTATAAAGGTCTTATGCTCAATTCGTTCCTTGCATTGAAAAGGATTAAAGATTTCTATTGTCCGCACGAGGACGCTCTCCCTTTGTTGGGAGGGGCTTAAACATGACCAATGAACAAATGTCATAATGGCAAGTAAACTTTTTCGGATGTTTGGCAGAACATAATTTTCGTTTGGATAGATAGTTCGAGAACGGCTTTTATTGCACAATTCTAAATGTATTTATTTTTTCTTGTAGATATTCCAAATATTGAGACCAAGTCCGTAACAGAAGTGGTCTTAACAAAGAAAAGGTAATCACTGTCATATCTGCTGGACCAGTGGGAAGGCCAGGGTTAAAGGGGAAAATGGATATATGGGCGTATGAAATAAAGGAATACTGTCGGTTAAAGACTAGGTTTAAATATGAAAAAGAAAGAAAGAAAAGTAAAATATAGCAAGTACGCAGTGCCTATAAACACAAACGTAAGATCACGTTTTTGTTTTTAAAGTTTTCAAATACTCGACGCATTTTATTTTATACTTTTGTTATATTGCAGAAGAGTTTCATCAAAAGAATATATCCAAGTCCAGTTATATGAACTGACCAAGGACAATATTGAAGTTCCCAAGGTACCTGCTCTTTCTTATTTCTTTCTTCTCACTCATCTTAATTAAGATGTTTCGTGTACATGCCATTTATAATAACAAACCCATAATGGGATTCGTGAAACCAAGTCCACATGCAAGCTGGTAATGAAGGCCGAATCAACATACAGGTAGATAAGCATATGGCATAACCAGTTACAGTCCAATTTCACAGTGCACACGGACAATTCAGGGAATCAAAAAAGAAGCGGAGAAAACATCGCCAGAGTGCACTGATACAATTAGATGTTATAAGAACCTGTGGTTTGTTTAATAGTGGTTTTATTTTTATATGAGATTCGTTTAGGAAAACCTTACCAATGTAATGTTTTTTACCCTTTGAAAGACTCTATACTCATGATATTGTTAAATTAGTTTTTTTTTTTTGCTTTATTAGTTAATCATAGTCAATTTCTAGTGTGGTGAAGTTCAGTTCAGTTGGCTGCAGACGTGTCTACGCACCACTCGTTACCTAGGTTCTTATTGCTATGTTACAGTCTAAAATTATGTTTTTGAGAACATCGCCATGTTGTTTGCGTGTACCGGTTATATTCTGTAGCAAAAGACCGTGTACGTTAGCCTGGAGGAAGCAAGGTCTCGCATAGGAGAGGCGTTATCGTGCATCCACAATCACACAAATAAACGTGAGTAAGGCCGTTTTAGACTACTTGCCAGTAAACACAATGGTTGAGAGCAAAACCAATAAAACTAACAAATGTGGACATGCATGTTTACCAATAGCAAGTTTAAGAAATAATTACCCACGTGCGGAGTTGTCTACATTTTTGGACTGATAGTTTACACTTACTTAACATTGAATTGAAAATTAAAATTGTAAATAACTGCTGTCCTTCAAAACAGATGCAGCAGGGAGGGTGGATTGTGTGGTAACCCTTCGGAAGTACCTGAAGCAATTAAGTCCCAGGGACTTGGTCAAACTTGGGGAGCAGTATCTTGAGGACAGATGTCAAGTCAATGATACTGTGTGTCAAGATGACCGCCACCTGTTCATCGACTTGATCATCCGCCTGGAGACAAAGGAGGCCCAGCAGTTAATTGTGCAGCATGTTCTTGATGTAGTCGACCCACACGAGGAGGAGATCCAACGCACCATGTACCATATGCATGCTTTAAAATCACCGACATCCGTGAGTATACATGTTATAATTTTCCGATATATATCATATGAATTTGAAACGAACACGGTTGATATTGGACGTTTTAAACTTTTGTTGAAATGTGTCGCGGAACGAATATTTTTTTTTTATTTAAGACTGTTCTAATTATAGAAAAAATTTATGAAGTTGCTGTGTTATGTACGCTCATTAAAATATTCCATACATTTGCAGGACCTTATATCAACAATAGCCAAGCTCTGTTTTGGACCGCTAAGAGAAAATATAGGTAGGCTACTAAACCACTTTTAATGTATGTTATGTATTTGTCATAATTGAAAACCTTTTTCATGTGACATTTTTATATTACATGTATTTAGATATCTAACATTCATTAGGAATTTTAATGCTAATTTGTCATCTAGGTCGGTTAGTGAACATTAAAACCACATGAAAAGACCTCTATAGTGGCACAATAGACAGTATCTTGACAAAAAATGATAAAGTATATTTAAATAATGTATGGTAAAATCGCCACAAAACTCACATGTGCACACTCTTTCCGTCCACATGGATCAACCAAACTTGGTGGAGACTCTGGCTAAGTGTAATCAGCTTAACTGAATGACACTCCTCCTCTTGTTTCCGACGATCTCGTATAAGCACTAGCTTTTCTGTATTCTACTTAACGTCAGGAGGGGCCGTGTTCTGTTAAGCCGATAGAACTTACCAAGGAATCCCCCAGGGTTGGACAGATCCACGTAGACTTAAGTGTCTGTGGGACCTACTGGTCACCCCGTACAAACTTTAAGAATCCAAAGAGGCCAGGTCAGTTTAGTCAATATATGCTTTAAACCTGAATGTTAGAAAAATCCTGTCCAGCTTTCCGTTTTAATTATTAATTAAGGGAATATTTCCGTTCATCAAGTCGACTTTTCTGTCAACATACAGACTTTTCGTATCAGCAAAAAATCCCGTAACTTTGACTCAAATTAATTATCAGGAAAGCACATCAATGTAACCAAGAACGAAAGACGGGCGTGTCTTGCCATTGGGAGTCTTGCGCGGTATACCAATGAGACCAACCACCTGAGTGCAGAAAATCTTGTGGCACACCTGGAAAACTGGCTGGAGCATCACGATGAAGGTATGCGTGCTCTCTCTCTCTCTCTCTCCCTCTCTCTCACACACGCACACACACACACGCTCTCTCTCTCTCTCTCTCTCTGTGTGTGTGTGTGGACGTGCCTTAGTGTGATTGTAATAACTACCGAATAAATTCCACAATTTGAACCTGCGTTATTTGATCCGCAAACCGGAAAAAACATGCTTATTTGTAGGTTCACTGTCCCCGCCTCACCATCGTGGTCGTCGATCCCCAACATTCTTCAACAGAACCGAACACCACCACAAAGTCACTAAAATGGTGCTGCTGGAAGCAATTGGTAATGCAGGATCGCCCACGTCACTTGACCATATCTTATCGTATGCTAAACCCAACATGGGACACCCAGCTTGGAGACGGACTGCCGTGAATGCACTAAGATCATATACTTGTCATAAAGTAGGTGTTCAGTTGTTCTCTTGGTACACGTGTTTTATTTTTTCAAAATATACCAGTCATGTTTGTGTAAAAGTACTGAAGAAACGGTTACAACAACAATACATAGTTGCTTTTACTTTAATGCATTATGCGTACATGTACGTTGCATACCACTATGCTATAAGAAGATTACTGTTACGTGCCTTTAGCGTTACTCTAACGTATTGGTCATAGGCCTTAAACCTCCGTCACAACCGGCCGTTCGGGCTCTTACTGGCTGTTTGCGTCCAAATTTTGCGCAGAATCTCACGTCCCACGCAAGTCCTTCTTACGCAATTTCGAGTTCGCAGACAGCCCGTAAGCACGTACGGAGGATGTTGGACATGTCCAAAAGATTCTACGAATAGCCTGCGAACAGCGAGCCCGCAAGCGTAACTTGCTCCCCTCGCCCGGAGTTAACAAGAGAGACGCGCGTTGTGCAAGACGCACGTCGCAGGCAATGAAGGAGCAAGTGCCCTTTGCGTGTTGAGTAAGGCGCATTCCCTCACAACTAACGAACAAAGTCGAGAGCACACTGGGAATGCGTCGCACGTGCGTCACCCCCACGCCTGGTGTACGCTCGTGTCTTTACAATGAAAGTCGATTGTGTAACGTGTACAACAATTTTCAAAATTTTCAAATTTTTGCTCAATTTATTATCTAATATGCCTCCCAATGGCAAGAGAAAGAAGCTTACATAGTAGAAAAAAGGAGGAAGAAGAAGAGGAGAAGAGGAAGCAAAATTGGCGTACGCCGTCAGTATGTCACCACAAACGTGTTTGGCAAGTGTGAAGCAAAACTGACGCAAAGGGTAATATTTTCGCCGTGTGTTGCATTCCCTTCGTAAGTGGTGAGCGTGTGCCAAGTACACAGGAAGCAAGACAAACTCAAGAAATGAGTACAATTTCCACGACCATCGCTCCTTGCAATTAGCGAATTGAAAGGACATCTCATGTGGCCCTTGCGACTCGCAAGGCAGACTTTTCCTCTACCTGTACGACCTCCACGGCCTAAAAATTTAAAAATCGCAGGGGACGTACGATCTTGAAATTCGTGCGTCCGGTTGTGACCGAGGCTAAACGAATCCTTAGCGTATTATGGCGAACTTTTGTTATAGTTCAGCACACGTTAGAGCTACCGCTAGAGTGTGACAGCACATTAACACTTGGACTGGTACGTACTTTTCATAAATAACGCCTATGTATATATTCAAATAATTATAAGACATACACGTATCTTCATGTTGTTATACTTTACTACATATATTTCAATGCAACTACTTGCAGAGTGCCACTGCCCTTATAGATTTAGCTGTAAATGACGACATCGACTTGGTCAGGCAAAAGGCATACACTGCATACAACGTTCACCCGAAACGCACCAATGTCACAAGAGAACAACATAACATTGTTTTAGGGTATTTTTATTTATTTATTTATTTTTTTAATAGTGGCACTTAAAAATCGTAGTAGTAATAACACTGGTTTTAACGTGTTATTAGAAGAGCCTATCATGATAAATTTAAGTGAAGGACACAATTGATAAAATTCTTTGCTGGATTAGTAACGATATTTGTAATCATAATTTATTTATCTCCTGAATAGTGAATCGTTTTCTAAAATATTTTGTTATAACTGATCAAAGGCGTATATTTTTATATTTCAGCAAGCAATACACGTACCACACAGTCATGCGTTTGAAGAGGGGTGTTTTGGATGACATTCTAAAGGCACTCAGTTTCAAACTAGAGGTACCAGGCATTCAATGGACAAAAGAAATTGGCAATGATAAAATAGGGGCAAGCTTTGGACTGGAAGTTAGAAACAAGATGGAGCTAAAATTGGGTAACATTCATCGTTTCACAGTATTCATTACTATTATCTTTGGAATACAATTTTAGCCAACGTATAAAGGTCTATTTCGGAGAGTCTTAAGTTGAATATCTTATAACACTTAAGTCTAAGTATTACCTTAATAACAAGTGTCTCAGCAGAGTTTGACATCTGTAGTATTACCACCAAGTGCACGTTTGGATTTTCAAGGGAGTTTTAAATAATACTTTATGTTTACACATGTATCTTTGGTATTAGGTTTCCTGTCGGGTTTCTTTGATTTGGACAGTTACAACACTGCCTTCGTTGAAGCTCACATAGGACTTTTGAACATCCAAGCTGATATCTTCAGAGCTTTGGCATGTTACCATGGCTTTATTGAATATGACCTGAATATATTAAAGGTAGCATACGTTACACTCTTCACTTTTGTAAATATTTTATCGTAAGCATCAAAATGTGTGTAGTCGTTTGAAAACAATTATCTGAGGGATGTGTTATAAATACGTTCATACATATGTGGCTGTGTAAACGTGCTTTTCACAAAAGATTTATTCTTCGTGTCTTTTGCGAGGATATTTTCACTTCCTTCCATTTGTGTTTGATTGCCTATCTGTATTTATCTGTATATCTGTATTTATTAATTTCTTTTACTCATTGTGTATTTATCTGTATATATTTATTCAATATACGAGTGGACAACTGCTCTCAAATCAACTGTGAACATAATGCACTGTTTTTAAAGTTCATATTTTATCATTTTAATTTTCATCATTACTAAGTTGGGCATTTGTCCTGTTACGTAGCGCCTGATTAGGTTAAAATATCAACGTGATATTCTTGCAGTTGGACCTGACATTACATATGTATTTGATACATGAATTATAGGTAAATCCAACGCATAAAGCGGCTTTATATCTGTGGTAGGGAGTACTATATATAACGTGTATAATTATTCTAGGATTTTGGGATCAACGACATACATGACTTGGCAAAGCTCTTTGACAAAATCATCGACAGTGTTCGTCTTCCTATCATCAAGGCCATCAATGCCTTCAAGAAAGTGGTCAGCTTGTTTCAAGGCAAAGGCTTACAAGGTTTATTTAACGAAATCGTGAAAGCCATCCGAAACCTGCCAAATGCCGTAAAGGAACTACTTGATAATCTGAAGCAATTTGTAATCGAGATAAGTGACTATGAGGGTTTGCCCTGGATAGCTGCTATGAAAAGGGTCGTGCGTCGAGTGCGACATTTTGTAGAAGATGTGCAAACAGACATTCTTGGCTTTTATAATGTAAGTTTAACGCTTGACCATTTGACTCATCCGATATTCAAATGTCACTTTCGTTCCTGTCAACGGCAAGTTCTTCAGAAAGAAATCTCATTACAAGGCTAGCTTTAGAGACTGTGGTATTTTATCAGTCCTAAAAAGAAATACATTTTAATCCATGTACTTTCTAGGAGTCTTTTCTCACAGGTCATTGTAACAAAAGGTATGACTCAATGTTTCACAATCTGGAAGAAATTCATATTTTTATGATTGCCATTATTTTGCAGGCAGTTGTTGATGCAATAGCTGTTAATCTCCCATATACAGCTAAAACAATTGCTGAAGCCATAGAGTTGATTATTAAGGCCGTCCAGTCGCTCTTCAAAAACCCAATGGGAGCCCTTTCAAATATAGGGAAAGCTATAATGAAGTAGGTGCAGCACAATTTTTTAGGCGATTTGAAATTACTCCACAAACTGAATACAAGTTTGACACTCCTAATTAATCCGCTCACGCAAGTCATGTTAACAGTCAGTAAACATTTCATGTACGTGTATTCTAAGCATGATTATTTCTTTTCTGGTTACAGAATAAAGCTGTCTATATCCATGATTATCGGGACCAAGATACAGATTGAGGAATCCTGCTTTTTCCTCTCTGGTACATTTACAAATGTTGCAAAATTAAAATGTTTATCAATTGTTTAATACGTGACTTGTTTACTTAGCCAAACAAAAGATAAATCACTCCCTCTTCTCCTTTTCCCACCTTTCCTTTTTTCATTCCTCTGTATTTGAAAACATTTTTCAGGGAAGATGCCTTACTGGATGAACCTTGGGGAAGAATTTACTGATCTCATGGATGACATCACAGAGGCAGTGGAGGAAGTTTCAGCTTTTCTCGAGAGGGTTAAAAACTATGATTTTTCAGCTGCTCGCCCACTAAATGTTGGAAAAGGAGATGGAATGCCTACTATGGTGATTTCAGTTTTAGATATCTGTGCTTTAATTATCCTACTGATATTATTTGTGGTCCTGTTCAGTGGTAATGTAAGAGTTAAATCATTAGAATACTGCCATATAGAAACATTATGGAAGAAGCTTTTACTCGCCGTGATCAAAATATTTTGTCATCATAGGAGGAACAGGAGAGACTAATCATCCAAGAGTTTTTAAAACAGTTTAAGATTCTACTAAAACCATTCGAGGGCATTGTGAATACATCAAAGCCGTTCTTAGATTCGTACAACGCAGTAATGGAGGTGGTAGACGGCGTGAAATCCGCTTACCATCAAATACGTACAATGTAAGTGTAAATTAGGCAATGTCTACCATTACGTTAGCTTTGCATTTCAGGTGGTAAAAAGATTCCCTGTGGTGTTGGTTACCTTGGGTTATATTGAGGAAATTATCTCCATATGCATCACTTGGTCTTGCTGTTTATGTGTGCCGTACGCTACTTTCACATTTCTTGGGCATGTTAAAGATATCTCCTCGAAACAAATTTATAAGAAAACAGTTGGCTGTTATATTATCTACCATCATGTATATATGTCGGAAACGAATGATATCAGATGAGTTATGTTATAAGATTTGAGTTATTTTTCTTCAATCAAAATCTGAATATTGAAACTGTTTACATGTAACTCCAATATTTCGAAGTCTGTCAGCCCCAAATCATCACAAAAGGAGGCTTTCGAGGTGAATAACCTCTATTTATATCAGAGAGAATGATACTATCATTTCTGTTTAAAAGACTGACCCCTGTCTTATTAGTGTGGATGGATTCTAGGACTCCTCTAGTATTCTTTTGGTTCACTGTCAGTCAGCTTGGTTTTTTCAATGTGAGGCAATGTCAAACTTCGTTATATATATAATTATAGTGGACGTAAACAATTTGAATATTTAGCTGTTGATTGAAGAAAAATTAATTTAAGTGATATTCACCACATTCTTATTGCACGCCCAATGCTTTTAGGAAATTTTCTCTAAATTCATACATAGGGTTGAAAAAGGAAAATCCATTGTTATGAAGCTTTTTGGCCCAAAGTTCCACGCCCAGTTTCCGTCTCACAGAAGTGATTGTGATGAAAGTTGTGGGTGTGGCAAATTCCCATATGAGGGGAAGAACGGGGAGCTTTTACCTGGGATTGACGTGATGAGAGGAAGGGGTAGCAAGGTGAGTAAAGTTAGTAAATACCAATTGTTTTGGCTTTTAACTTTGACTTACCGAACACTGGACTTTTGACGTTGTATTAAAATATAGTCCGTTTCTACCACAATGTTATTAAATAAACCATATTTATCGACTGTTTCTTTACAATCATTGACTCTGTTAGTCACTTCTGAACTTTATGTTACATCGGTTAATAATCCCAGCTAAGTATTGAAAATAGCGGAGAGGTGACCGAAACACTAAGTCCATTTGTTAAGCAAGTGGATTCCTCAGGAATGGACATGGCGAATCGAGCGCTCTTCTACAGCATACCAAATGAACAACCTGAACACACGCAAGATGGGCAACTACGATACTGAAATAGTCTTATATAATTAGTTTGACACGTGTTTCATGTTATTTATTTATTTATTTATTTATTTATTTATTTATTTATTTTATTTATTTTTTGTGGTTTAAAAATGAAAATCCATACCCTCAATACAATTAATTTCTTAAGTGTAACGATGGAAGATATAGATAAGTACCTGTATGCTTGGAAACCTTTAAAATTGATCGATTTTTATGCGACTGATTTATACGCCTAGTTTCAATCTACTTGTAAATAGCTCGTATGCTGGAGATAGATATTGCCGATCGATATACAACATTGGTCAAAAAGGTTGTCCCACCCCCATTTCCATGTACTTTTATTTACAAATGATCACCTCACAGCTGCAAATTGTTAGAAATAGTGCTTTTTCTTACAGATACCGTGTCAAACATGATTAATGGTTAAAATAAATACAAAATAGCGGTGAAAATATACATATTTTATACCATTTAGTAAAATTTAAGAGAGGTACCCCCTCAAATCCACTGTTTCACTGTGACTTCTACAGATGTTAAGAAATGTCTATTAAATTGAAAAGACGCCATCAAATGTCACCAAATTCACACACAATTAGCATTAGGGTGTGCTCGTCAAAGGTCACGTGCCTAACAGCGTGTGCGTCTACCGCGTACTGCAATTATCTCCTGTAGACGGCGCGACAAGCCTTCAACATGGGTAACAATTCTGTTATGTGGGATATTGTCTCATTCTTCTTAAACAAGTTGGGGGAGTTGGCCCACGTTTTTATGGGGTTGGTTCTCCTTTGCATTGCACACTCCAATTCATGTAACAGTTGATTAGTTAGTTTAATATCAGGGCTCAAAGATGGTGGTTCCAACCAAAGAGCATTGCGTTTCTTCAAAAAACACTTGCCAGGCGAGAGGTGTGAGCAAGTGTGCAGTCATGATGAAGCCTGGAGTTAACCCCAAAGTCAGTTCTTGAAGATGGAATGAGATATAAGCTGAGAATGCTACGTTCAGTGGTCCCACAACCTTTTTGACCAATGTTGTACATGTAGGACGGTTGCGATCAAGGCTTTATTTATTTGTAAAGTAAAGCATTGAAAGAGGGACACATACAGGTATTTAAAAAAATTAAAAATACGCTAATAATAATGCTAATGCTGGATGCCCTAGTGGTTAGAATGTCGAGTGCTTTCAAAGTAATTGTACCTCGTGATTCTTGGTCGATAATGACCGATTAGGAAGTGTCAGTACGGTCTGATATTGACCTTAACGTGACTGCCGCTGGACCAGTCAATGAGTATCAAGGTCTGTGATCATGTAGCAAAGCATAGTGTCTGGCGTGATAGTACGATACCCTCTTGCTCTGAAAGTGGTTAAGGGTTCGTTCACATGAAAAAATCTGTTTTCTAAAAATCTAAAAATATATTGGCGGTATCTTGTGAGCACGGTCTGTACCCTGAATACCCCGCGGCGTAATTACTGGCAGCGCGAGCGAGTTACTTCTCATACTTTGACGCATGCGCAGTAGGAAGTTAGAAGTAAATGGCGGTCGCAGTTGCTCTGAAAAATGTGTTTGTCGATTTTGTGCAACAACAAGCACTACCACTAGCCAGATTACGCGTCTGTATGTTTGGGTCGTCACAAGTAAACTGATGAACTCCACAGAGAGATACTACTGCGCATGCGTCAAGGTGTCAGAATCTTGCTGCCAATAATTACGCCCGGGAGTATTAAGGGTCCAGACCGTGATAACAAGATACCGCCAATAGCTTTTTAGATTTTTAGAAAATAGATTTTTCATGTAAACGAACCCTAAGCGTGCATTGTTTAAACGGCTATGTGTCTGTAACAGAACGCTAGTTATTTAGAATGACGAGTTTTTAATTTTTGTTCGGATATACTTAGAATACTGACTTTTATTAGGTGGAGTCCCCTGTTACTGGAACTGTGAAACGGCGTGGCGACAAAGCGGTTCTGATTGAACCAAGTGACCAAGACTTTGCGAGTTTTGAAATAATTGTCAGTAACATTGAACCTATCAGGAGCATTGAAAACTCCGGCACTTCCATAAATGCCGGCGATAAAATTGGCAAAGCTCTACACTCTCGATGTGATCCAAACTTTATTCATGTTGCGATGCGTAAAAAGTCAAATCCACCAAAGCCTTCTGACGATGACTACGAGTATGTCGATCCAACACCGTACATAGACAGAATTGTCCCAGTTCCACAGTGGATTGAAAAATGCAACGAGTTCAGTTTGACCTACATAGGGCAAACCTCTGACACAGATTCCATTACTGATCCTGAAAATGCCCAAGAAATCGTTGAAGATGTAAAGCGCCATGCCCAAGAAAGAGTTGATGAATTCATTAACAATCCCCCAGAGCCAGAACCTCCATATCGACCAGAAGGGATGGATGAGGGCACAACGAAGTCTTTGGCTGACAGCTTTGGAGACGCCTTGGGTGATTTTGGAGACCTGGGGCAGCTCATTGACTTCTCAGGGTAAGTTTGGGTACATAGGATTAGTTTCAGTTTTATTATAATCATCCTGTTCTTTAGTTGGTTCGCTTACATCTTTAACGGAACCATGCTTTTAGGTGAACACGTTTAAATTAACATTCATATATGTACATTTAATTAAATGTTGCCTATTTCTATCTACAGCAAGAAGAAACCTCCTAGTATTCTTGATAAGATTGACATCAATTCTTTCGAAATGCGCCATGTCTTACTCATACTTAAAGACAGTGGGCTATCAACAAAACACCTTCAAGTTGAAAGATACGTGGAATCCTTAGCCGAGTTCATTCGCACAAACAAACTAGAGCATCCTGAAAATTTCTCACCACGGAGGCTAAAGTACATGCTACAAAGACGAGGACAAGATTCATTTGGATCATTTGAACAGTTGGTTATGCGTTACATAGAAATACCAGAAGGAGGTATGGTACCAGTTTATATATATATATATATATATATATATATATATATATATATATATATAGTGTTGAAAGCCCCAACCAGCACACACATCTGGGTCTCAGATGGATGTAGTGGCCTTATTGAGCAGGTCTTGGCATAGGTTAAATTCAGTAGTCTTTTGTGCTTCCTTGATGGGTCTAATATGAGCTAGCCTTCTTCATGGGTCACGTACTGCACTGTTGTCTGGTGTCTGTTGTTGAGAATACATTTTGAGACTATATATCTGCTGTACTTGAGCCTATTTGGAGTAAAATGGAGTGTATTATTATAATAGATTGGTTGGATTCGGTGGATTAAAGGCTGCCCATTTTGTGGCTCGGTGTCAGCAAAAACCCCTACATGTATACGTTAGCTCATATGGGTCCTATATGGGACCTTTATTTTAGCCCATATTGGCTTACCTACATGAGACCCACATGGAGCTCATGGACAAAGCCATCTGGGACCCACGTCACAATGCATTTAAACCACATCTGGGAACCATCCTTGTGTGTTGACTGGAGGTATATACTGTAGATAACTGTCTTAATTCATAAAGCGATCAATTGCCATGGGGTCTGCATTCTCAAAACTAAAAAAAAGAGATGAATGTTGTCATCGGGGTGAAATGGTGAATGCTAGATAGAAAATATCAGAATTAACTTTAATTTAACGTTTTACGTTTTCCATGGCCTCAGTCTGCCCAAATATCAAACGTGGTATAGCCAGAGGCTTTGGTCACTTCTGTACGCCCCACAGAGACTGTCAGGGACTGACATGCGGGCTGCTGGTCAAATTTATCTTCATCAAGAAGGTCATTAAGTTCGACATGCGGTTGAATACATGTAGCAGGAAACTTGATGTTCAGATAGATAATGATACAACAAGTTTTGATATACAAGGTGGGTGCACACGTGTTTAATTTCAACATGCGGCTGAATACACGTAGCGGGAAACTTCATGTTCAGACAGAGGACGATATTTAAACAATCCCTCGGCTGCAGATATCTAAACAAAAATCTTTTTTTTTTTTCATATTTAAGAAACGTTTACAACTAAGAGATATGCAAAATCGGCAATTCACAAATGCCATGGCTACCACCTGTTACAGGTGTTAGAAGTATTTTTTCGACCGAAATTAGAGTACCACAGAACAACGCTGTTTTGCTCTATTATTTGCTAGGAAGCGATGATATTGATATAATGCGACCATTTGGGGCATTTGATGACTTCACTCTGATGATTAGAGCACACGTCAGCAGGATGGGCAATGGTGTCGATGTTACAGCGGAGATGTCGGTGTGTTCTGCATACTATCCAACATGTACGGAGACGATGGAGTTGTTCAAACACCTTTACTTGGAAAGCTCCCCAGACGCATTGTGCAAGCCAGGTGAAGCAAAAAAAAATGTTTATGTGGAATAATGTTTCTAGACAAAACATCCCTCGACTAGTGACAATTAACATGACATTTACGAATAACATTTACATCAGTATTCTACGAAACATACACAAACACAAACAAAACGTTTAGTTTTTAATGCTGTTGTTGTTGTTGTTGTCCATTGCAGGGGTTGAATATGATGGAACTGAAGATCGGGTTCGAAGTATGCGGCTTCAGTACTTTGTGGACGACTTACTTCAACTAAACGTTGGCGACAGGAGAAAATTGCTGACATTTATGAACGAACTTCGCAGCGCAATACTTGATGCAGTGAGTATATCAATGACCACCATTTATACATGTAGGTTATGCTTATAACAGATATTGACCCAGTAACAATTGATTACGATACATCATGCAGTGTACAACAAATGCGTCTACCAGTCAAATTGTGTATTAACCTATTAGCGCAAAAAGCATATCGTAGTGTATTCAAAAAGGCATAACATCTATACATTGGATTTTTTGGGGGTTAAAGCGACAACTTTTTTGTTTGGTTTTTATCTCCAAAGATAGCTACCTTCTGCAGTAATCCCTTCAAAGATTATTAAAGAAGGTAACAATCTATGGAGATCACGTGGTCCGATGACAAGCACATATTCCAATGTAATTGCGATTACCGCTGTTTTGGCGGTAAAAGAGTTATTATTATGTATCCATTATTTGTTTACAATGTATTCATTGTGAAATATGAACCCCATATGTGAAGTTTATTGTTATTCCTTCAAGTTGGAAACAGATTTACCCCACGGTTTTGAAATGCTTACTTCTCACAGTGATGCATATACATACACATAATGTATTTTATGCTTTTGTAAATTCTGTAAGCCTGAAATACAAGACCCTAAATATAAAAACGGACGTGCGCATTATCCCGATAATCCCTTTGTGATTACCTTGTCATTGTATGTTTTCGGAATATTTTACCATACCTTACACGACATAATCCGGTGAGGAACAAAGACAATTACTTATGTTTAAGTGATAGTGACCACTTACTGTGGAGCAAAAATATTACAGTAGTTTCGTTCTTTTCACATGACTAAAATATTAGTAAATTCAATATCTTGGAACCATGAACAATCTAATTCATATCACCAACTTTGTGTTCTTAGGTCTTCGTTTTGTCACATTGCCCTCTCGACTAGCCACCATCTGCATAAAAGGAATTACAAGTTCGGTGCCTGTTACGTACCGGTATACCAGTTGATTGGACAAATGTGCCATTTGCATCTTTTGTAAATTGGGTGGCTTACATGTATGTGTATTTCGTGCAGGTCATTAACAACCCTGGACTGTTACTGAAAATCGGACAAGGGGAATTTCCTGCCTCGGTTGACTTCTGTTTCGATGGTGATATACCAATACCAACGCTTGATATACCGTTCTTCGATTTCTCTACCCTGTTTATGATTGGACCCGTCCCTCTCCGCCTAGGTAGGTAATTTTCCCTTAAAGACGTTGTATTGAAAAAAGAGGTTTCTCTCAATATTCTTTAAAAAGATGATTTTTAAAGATTTAATCAATTCACCAATTCTGATAAACAATTGGGTTTAGGGTGAGAGTGAGTGCTTATTAATGAAGGACTTATATTGCTAGAAGGGTCGTGTATTAAAATTCTCATGGAAGGATTATGAAGGCTCCTTTATATCAAATATGATTTGAAGCACGTCTGACATAGGTCCTGATATTACATATTTGACGGAAAGGCTGTTCAGTCGATGGTACAAAGGTGATCGTTCCTCTTTTCTTTTTTGATTTTGCATACGTATAATTACGAGTTTATATCGTTATCGTATTGCCATTCTACAGCCACACAGTTGTTCATGAACAGTATGATACCCATAACAAGTACACCTTCTCTTCATAGAGTTTGGTGCTGGAGGAGCGATTGGCATTAGAATTTCAGTTGGAGCTTGCCTTATAAGTATGAAAGCAAACGTGAGTATTTGATCTAAATTTTCTGTCAAATAATACTATAAATCATAAACTTGTACAAAGTTGACGAACAACTCTGTGAAAGGCGTATAAAACAGTCACAAGCTTTATGTCGTACACCTGAACTCATCTGATTTCATTTTAATCTTCAGAAACGGACAGTGTAAATACATGTAATCAATAAAAGTGCCCAATGACCTTATATTATAGGTCAAGGCAGTTCCATGGGTAGGCGGCAAGGTCTGGGGTGCTCTTTCGATTGACCTTTTCTTAGTACGGGCTGGAATTAAAATAGTTGGATACTTGTTGGAGACCAGATTTCCTATAACTGGCACTCTTGGCTTTGCAAAATTCCCAATAGCAGTAAGGTAAGTCAGGTCTTGTCGGAGGGTAGATTTTATCTACTCGAAATTCTTTATTTTCTAGCCAATACCTACACTGAAATACTTATGCAATTGTTTGAAACATAAAAAGAACAAATCAATAACTTTATTGGCTCCATTGTGCAGTATACTGATTTTAAAATATTGTATTCGTGTACACCACAGTGCAGAAATTTGTCATATTTCAGTGCAAAGATGGACCTTGAACTTGTTCCAGTGAAAGTGAAGCTCACTGCTTTTGTTGAGTTGTATCTTATTTTTGCGCGGGTGATGATCTATGAGGGTACATTATGGGAATACAAAATGGAACCAATCAGACACACTATTTTCGATATTCCTATGGAAGATAAAGACGAGTCTCCGGCAGAATTTGGGCCAAACACTTACAACAGAAGGAAGAAAAGGTGGAATTCTGACTCGGGCTGTACTGTGAAACAGCTAAGTGGTCGAGACTACACCGATCCTGCCTTTATTCTCGAAGCCACATGTAGCGACCCTGTGAGTGACGTCAAAATGTTTTATGCTATTGGTAGTCATCCAGGTGGCACTGATGTCAGCGACTGGACAGAGATGGGAGGGTCACCGCTCACAGTTCCTCAAATGATGATTGGGGGAATTCCTCTTTACTGGACGGTCAAGGCAAGAAACAGTCAGGGTCTCGAGGCTTTCACACAGTGCATGCTTCATACATACGACGTTACACTACCCGACGGACGCCTTGAGGCGTCACACGCCTACACGAGTCACCCACACAGAATCAGTGGAACTTTAACACTGGTTGATGATTCTCCTCTGAAAGACACCCAATACAAGGGAGTCGGATTTGGTCAGGGAGCAACAAACGCTGAGGTTGTCAACTGGCAGCCTTTTTCTCCAGATAAAATGTCCATAAACCACGAAATCAAAAACGAACTGTCTCATTTTTCTGCCGGCAGAACAGGAAAACTAACAGCCCAGCCAATCAAAACCATACAGACAGATACAGATGTGAAGTGTGCGAAAACATGCTTAGACTTTGGTCTGAAATGTGTTGCCTTTGATTACGACTACAAGACTACTACATGTGACTTGCACGAATTCCTCGAGGGAGCGATGGCTAAACTGGCTACCAGCGGGGCGTATCACAACTTTGAACGGATTGGAGTGGGTCATACGTCATTTCTAGAATTTGACAACCTTGATTTACAGCACGGTGAAGTCTACTATATCAACACGAGAATAACAAATGAGCTTGGGTACACATCGATTATATCAACGAAGGGAACACTGGTCGACTTTACTCCACCAGAACCAGGTCCTATAGGAAACGCATCTGTGGATGTCGTAAAACCAGATGGTTGTTCGGCAGCTGTAACGCAGCGGTGCATTGACGTCACTTGGCAACCCAATCACAGGTATTACCTGCAATAAGTTATGTTCTTAATCAGTATTTTCCCATTTCGTCAAATAAATAATAGCGTTTAGTTCCCCTGAAATTAACTTTTTAAGAGAATTGTATTAAGGATTGGGGAAAAAAGACACATTCGCCGTCTTTATGTCATTACTTACTGTCCGTAATGTTCAATGTGTCTGATCTCCGATTACAAGCTTTAATTTGTAGATACATCCGCGATGGTCCTGGCTCTAACACTGTGTTCAATGGACATCATCCCCTCAAGGACACGAAGTATACCCTTGCCAACCACTACATGTCAGGTAAGAAAAGTTTATTGCTGTCTAAACTTCTGATGGAACTCCTGATAAAAGAACAGGTGTCACTTATGTTTATATCTGTGATTGTATTATATTAAACTATACACACGGTATGTATTTACATATCTTATGTTATTACAGGAATGTACTGATAATTTTCATATTTATTATTCATTCTGCAATCATATTCTGTAGCTAATTGGGATGGTTTCCATGACAACGAGACTGATATCTGGGGTTACACTTGGGCAGCTGGTTCAACTGTCTGTGGAACCGATGTCCAACCGTATGACGACCCTCACTCGCACCTCTCAGGAAAGTCATTCTGGACACACAACGGTCTGGCCAAGCACCTGCATCTTGCTGATGGCCCGTACTACGTGACTGTTCAAGCTTTGAATAACGTCCACTACGGCGGTTCCTTGGTGACAACTGTGTGCCACACCAGGCCCATTATTGTTGACACTACGAGGCCAATATTTAATGGAATCGATGATGTAATATACGACGAAGACTTTGACATTATGGCCGTTTATTACAACGTGTCCGATCCATTGTCTGGCATAATGAGAGTAGATTTTGCCCTAGGTAAAACTAAATATGACGCAAAGATACGCCCATTTTCAATGCATGATCACATTATAAGGAAGCTAACAGGAAGTTACCTTTCCCTGGATGAACCAGGGATTCCGGATGGAGTACCTGTATGGGTTAGAGTCCGGGCAGTCAACAATGGTAAAGATTTGACATTCCAGTTTAATTTCTATAATACATAGGACAATTTCTGCGATCGCAACACTGAGCGTTTCATTTACGTGTATTGGATAATGGGTAATTAGACCACGACATAGACATAATGAAGACCAATAAAGTTATGCTAAGATGTTAAAAGTCATTCTAAATAAGGCACCATATTACTTTTCCGTTCCAGTTGAGCTTTTCAACACTGGTCACGGAGACGAACCCATAATGATTGACCGTTCTGATCCCATTCCGGGAGAGCTGTTTGATGGTAACGAACTTCACATCGACAGTGACTACCAGGCCAATAACGACAGTATCTGCGTCCATTGGAAGGGGTTTTATGATCCAGAATCTGGAATAGACAGGTTGGTACATGTATGAAATGTCTGGGCTTTGGTCATATTTACGTAGTTAAAATAAGACAATCCCCAATGCGTCACTTATCACGTCACTTTCTTCGATGGTAAATCAGTGAAGGTAAAAGGTAATTATATCCACTGTTCACCAATTGAATGAAAGTAATTTTCATTGTACCATTAATCAATGTGCGGGACACATTTTCGTATTTTAGATATTCTGTACAAGTGGGAGGTTCTCCAGGATCAGACGATGTCGTAAAACCCTTTGATATTAGCCACTCCATCAAAGAATCTTGTATGGCGGCCAACCTTACCCACAACACCACATACTACGCTACTGTCACCGCCTTCAACCATGGTCTTAACCCTAAGTCTGTCAACAGAACATCGGATGGAAGTAAGTTCAATTCAGGAAAAAATTCATTAAAAGCAGTTTGAAGAAATCTCCAATTCCTGAAATTTGTCAACAAGCAATACCACACCTATAGAGGAGTTTAGGTATTATGATGCAATAATACGTTTTGATGCACTAAGATAATAAAGAACACTTAGTGTATTTGTATTAAGATGGGTAATTTATTTTCTTTACAGTACTTATTGACATGACAAACCCAATCCCTGGATGGGCTGTCGACGGCCTCAGTCACAAGCAGGATGTCGACTTCTCAGCTGAGACTGCCACTGTATCTACAGTTTGGGGTGGATTTCATGACCCAGAAAGCGATATTGACCACTACGAAGTGAGCGTTCTGGTGAACAGAGAGGAGGTGGACGCAATCCTCCTGGGAAAGGACCAGCATTTTGAGAAGCACACTTTTTCCCTTCACCATGGTGACACCGTTCAGACAACAGTGCGTGGTCTGAATGGGGCTGGTTTGATGTCCTCGACAAACACAGACGGCTACTCCATAGATCTCACTCCACCAGTGTTGAAATACATCATCCAGTCCGAAGACGGGTTGATGTATCAAGCCAGCGACTCCTACATATATGGCCATTGGCAATATGGGGACGAAGAGTCGGGGATCTTGGAATATCGTGTCACTATATTTCAACTCTATCAAGGACAGAAGCAGAAACTGTGGCCAAGTGACCAGCATGACGAAACCTTCACCATGATGGAAGCTGAACCACAATTCGTATTCAACCAGTCATTGCAGCTGATAAATGGGGCAAAGTACAGCCTCCACGTGACCGCCATGAACAGAGCTCTTCTCTCCGCCAGTCACGAAACCACAGGAGTTATAATCGACACAACTCCACCTAAGATGAAAGAAGTAAGTCATGCTCACATGATATTTTAATATTCCGTTAGATACAATAACTATAACCCAGTGTTTTGTTCAACCCTGCAATATAAAATCAGGAATCGAATGGTGTAGTGTGATAATATTAATGCTATTAACAGAACATGTATTTTGTATTTATACAATATGTGTATTTATACAATGCAGGTACACATTGGCCTTTTTGAAGAGGAAGAAGAACTTGATGAACAGAACCGCGTTTTACATGTCGACTCAAATGGCATAGAGGTCTCCTGGCTCGGCCATGATGGGGAGAGTGGCATCATCAGGTATTTGGTAGGCGTTGGTGTTAAACCAGGGGATGTGTCTGTAACAAAGCAGTTTATTGACTTTGGCAGTGTAAACCATGGTTATATACCTGTCCAACTTAATGTTACAGCATCAACTGGTTATACGTATTATGTCACCGTCATTGCCTTAAACGGTGCTGGATTGGAATCCCACCCATGTTCATCAAAACCTATTGTTGTTTTGAGAGATAATGTCCCCGGCACTGTTTCTGATGGAAGAGAGTTCCTGCGTGATTCTAACTCTCAGAAAGACACTTCATCCATAGCTTGCAGTTTTGTAGGCTTCGAGAGTGAGGCCTGTGGTATTACAGCTTATGAGTGGGCAATAGGATCGGCGCCTGGGTTGTCAGATATCCGGGACTATTCTTCCTATGGTATAGTAATGGTCAATGAAACCTCCGGTATTGCTCAAGGGAATCTAGATCTTCCTGATGACCAAACCGTTTACACTGTCGTAAGAGCTACTACTGGGCACAATTGCCATGAAGATTTTATAGTGTCAGTTTCAGATGGAATAACAGTCGATGCTTCACCCCCTAACATCATATTTACGCAGATAGTTGAAGGTGCACAAGCAGTCACTAACCAGGTGGTATATGAGGCCTCCCCTGATAACGTCGTACCAAAATGGAACGTATCTGACACTGGTAGTGGTATGGCTAACGTGTCATGGAAAGCCGGGCGTTTACCAGGTTATTCGGACAAGGTCCCTGAAATCTACACCACGACATCAGAACTTCCCAATGGGGCCGTTTCAGCAAAGCAAGGCGAGACCATCTTCCTCACATTAACAGCTACAGACAATGCAGGCAACCAGAGAACTTTGACATCCCCTGCCTTAGTGATGGATGCGACTCCTCCTGTTATCAAGAACTTCAAATGTACAGATACCATTTCCCATTTACAGACCACAGTTCACTGTGAATGGAAGCCTATTGTTGATGTTGAGAGCAAAGTTAAACGGATTCAAGTAGGTGTTGGTTCGGACTATTCCAAAGATGATTTGGCACCATTCTCAGATCTTGGCATCCATAAGAATGACTGGATGATTGTACTAAAACCACAGGATATGCCCTCCAACACGACCCGTGTGTTTGTCACTTTGAAATCAGAAAATTTGGTCCATTTAAGTTCAATTTCTGTTGCCGAAATCGCCATAGACACCACCCCTCCACTACCAGGTCTTATTCACATAACCACATCGTCTGCACCTAAAGGAAGTGATGTTCATTTCCCCAAATGTCAGGTTTCCGGAACATATGTTGAGGTGTTATGGGAGAAGTTCCACGATCTTGAAAGCGACATTGATCACTATGAACTTGCCCTTGGAAGCTACTTCCAAGGTACGGATGTGATGGGGTTCCATGATATCGGACTGAATACATCAAAATTTATAGATGGTTTAGCTTTACCTCCTGCGTCTACAGTTTATGCCTCTGTCCGAGGATTTAACAAGGGTGGTCTTTATGATGCTGTTGTTTCTGAGGGCACTGTTGTTTCCCCTCATCCCATCCTATCAGTCGTTGATGGAAGTGATAGACATGACGTAAATTTTCAAACCGATATGTCCTCAGTATCTGCATACTGGGACTATCAAGATCCCTGTCCTTTGCAAGAAGTTTTGTGGTCTGTTGTTCGGGTCGATGGAGTTGTAATTAAACCTCCGTCTCGCGTACCTCCGTCTGACCATTACCTGATTAATGATGAGACTGATCTGGAAAACGACAAAACCTACTATAGCATTGTGACGATTGTGGACGTCATTAACCGCACACAGACAGCCAGGTCCAATGGATTTACCGTCAAAATAGAACCTCCAATCCCAGGCTATGTTGCAGACGGTCATAGTGCCGATATTAACTACCAGCAGTCCACTACACACCTGTCCGCCCACTGGGGACCATTTGGCGATTCACACTCCAAAGATCCGAGCCAACGCATTGACCACTATGAGATATCTTTAGGTAATGACAGAAGGTATGAGTTGACTAGAATGAACGTTCACTCATTTGTAAACGTCGGGCTTTCTAGAAACCATACATTTGATGGATTAAACCTGACAGCAAAATCTACAACTTATTACGTCACTGTGAGAGCCTACAGTGAAGCAGGAAGCATGACTGAGGTGAGCTCTAATGGCATAAAAGTTGGATACGTAGACTACATCAAACCCGGTACTGTCTTTGCTAAGATGTTTCAGTCGTCAACCAAAGGATTGCAAGCTTCATGGGAAGAGTTTTCATCAGATTTGCAGATCAGAGACTATCAAGTGTGCGTGTCAACAGATGCAGAGTTTATAACGGCTTTATCAAACAAAAGTATTCACTGTGAAGACTTACAAGATCAGAACAATTTAGAATTCAATCGGACAGTAATGACGAGTGTTGGTACTGATACAACAGTGAAGCTGAGTAATTTGGCACTGATTCACGGTCATAAATATTACATAGTTGTCAAAGCAACAGATGCCGCCAGCAACTGTGGTATTGCCGCCAGTCCCCCGATACTGATAGATACCACCCCTCCATTACCAGGCAAAGTTGTAGTGGGGCTCGAAGGAACTAACGCATTATATGCTGTTTCCACAGAAACACTTACAGCCACTTGGTCAGGGTTTAGAGATCCTGAGACCCAAATTGTTATGTATGAAGTTTCCCTTTTCCAACGTCTAGTGTGTTCAAACATCCATTTAAATGATACTGAGTTATCATTGATTAAGGGTCCTGTTGAAATGACCAATGATAGTACGATAGAGTTCACCCATCTTCGACTCAAACCGCATGTACCATATTATGTCAAACTCCAGGCATCGAATGAGGCTGGGTTATCTGCAACATATTGGAGCGACCCTGTTTTTGTAGATGACACCCCACCATTCCCCGGCGATGTAAAACACGGTAGCAACTGGAAAATATCAGACCTATACCAGGCATCAACGACGTCCTTACAAGGCATGATAGGCATTGCTCAGGATACCGTAACCGCCATTTGTCCATCAACAAAACGCATTCAGTTCTTCAGTAAGCATCAAGAAGGCATGTCGGTTTTAAAGTCATCACCTCGACTATCAGACATACCACAACCATACTACCAGCCCGACAACGTTCAGACTTCCTCTGGTCAGCTCGTGCTGCTTACAGGGCATGACAAGTACCGATTTCATCTCGAGTTAGCGGGGGTGAAACGCGCACTGTCATCTGATGTTTTGGGCAATTTTTCTTTCTTCCTGCAAGCCGCCAAAGGGGAATCTATAATCACGAGTGTGACTTTGAGCAAAGGAGACAACGATGAGATATTTCCATTTGAAGATCCAGTTATTGTCGACCTCCCTTCCTCGGATATGTTCCAAAACTCTTCGATTGAATTCCGTAGTGATAATATAACTGCAGGAAGTGTTGTTGTTAATGGGACAAACAAGAACAGTACTACAACGGCACAAAAGGATAGTAGTAAAGCTGTACATGCAAACATTACGATAAATGGGTCGGCAAATGTCGCTAATCAATTCCACTTGGTACCAGGCGTGGGTCTGCACATATTGGGATATTCTGTTGGATCAGATGTGAAGTGGTATTGCATGTTCTGGTGTACTAATGAAGATGGCCGCGAGTCGGAGTGGGTGGAACTATCTTTTGATCCGACGTCAAAAGCGGCAACATACACTATACAGATAGAAGAAGAAGATCACCCCACAAGAACGAGTTGGAATGCAAAGCTGCACATCAACAATGAATTCAAAGCTGCTTTTTTCAACATCATAAAGCCAAAAGGTTTCCTTAAGATACGGACGTGGAGTAGGAACGACTTCGTTCCTGGGGTGGTAGATGTTTTTTATCCATTTCAAACACAGGCAGCATTGAAGTACTTGGAGATCCCACTACCAAGGGATAAGCCTTGTCACTTTGGAAAACCATTTTATGACCTTGAAAGCAAGTTGAAGGAACTGTGGGTTGGCGTTGGACGCTACAATAACCTTGTAGATGATGTAATCCCGCTTCATTTGTACAAGAGGTTCTGTTCACCGTGTCAGTACGAATGTGATATGACGTGCAGTCCTGAGTGCCCTCTTTTGGAATTCCCGCAAACCGTTCTCTTAAAGAATCTGACCCTTGCTCCAGAGCGGGAGAAGAATAGTGATGATATTAATCAGGATTCTGCTACCCCCAACGCTGCTGTCTACTTTATGATAATAAAAACAATAAATCACGCTGGGCTTGAAACAACCGTATCGTCACAGGGAATCACTATCGACACTACGCCACCTAACTGTACATTAATACACTGTTTAGATCCATCATACTCCATGGAAGAACCCGTGGAATATGTGGGCACCAATGAGAGTATTGGGGCATACTGGGACTGCGAAGAAGACATCAGTGACATTATAGGATACGATGTCGCTCTTGGAACAACTCCAGGACATGACAATATCATTTCCTTTTATTCTGTTGGTCTAAATAATAGGGTTATTTTGAACAACTTCACACAGCCACTTCAACAATACGGCACTTATTATGTGTCTGTACGAGCAAAAAATGCAGCAGGACAGAGCACCATGGCAACATGCTACGTGGCAATAGACACAGAGGTTCCAAGCATCGCAGGTCTGAAGGATACGGTTAAGCCGCCTGGCGTGTCCCCCCTTCCAAATATACCGGGCGTGTATGCGACGGACAATTCACATGAGACAGCCTTGGAATGGGCAAAAGGATCAGAAACTGTGGAGTATTATGGTGAGTACACTTGAATCATTGAAGATGGCTGATGCATACACATCATTTACCATTGAATTAATAGTTAAATCTGATTTTAGCTTTGTGGATTTGACATCGACCAGTATCTGATTAATCCGTGCGTCATCTGTTCTCACTGAATCTTTAATATTGCTTCCAGAATGGCAGATAGGATCAGCAGATGGGGAATCCGACATCTTCCCCCGCTCAAAGATCGGAGTCACCAACTCTACGAAAGTGGCCATATTGAATGGGAAACTAATTATGAATGATGTGGACGCCAACATGAGTATTTCTGTTATGGCAAACCACAGTGCGTCTAACAAGAGCAACGAAGACATCAGGAAGAACAGTTTCTTTTCCATGGAACCAGGAAGATGTCTTCACCAAAGTCTGATTGCCACCAGCAAGGCACACAAGTCGGCTCTTGTTGCGAATCTCACAACCTGTATTAAACGTAAGTGATCAATGTCATGCTACGAATTAAATAAATTTCTCGGTTTATATCAGTACAGAACTGTAGTTTATGCACAAAGCTTACTTTTTGTTGACNAAGTTATTCTTCTGTGACATTTATATACCTGAACATATATTTTCGTGACTGTTTTCAGTAACCTACATACTGCGTTTCTTTCCTGGTACATGACACCCTTACCTGCGTCCAAGTTGTGCGGCGTGTCGCAAAATTGGTCTACAGCTTGCATTCCCACCGCAGATGTTTTCAAATACCAAATACGGCACCGCTTTATGTAGCACATTAAGGTGGATCAATACCTTACAATGAGTAGCTTTAACTTGACAACATAAATATGTGTCATTACCTCTTGTATGCAAACCTAGAGATGTTATATGATATATTCTTTATTCGGTTAAAGGGTTTTATTTTTTTTTTTTTTTTTTTTTTTGTGAAATACAGGACCAAAGGATACAGTTATGGAGCTCAAGCAAGAAGGGATAAAGCTCGTTCTTCGCAAAGACATGTCACATAATGCTAATCAGAAAGGTAAAACAGCAAAGGCAAATCATTACATAGTATTTCCCCTGCCTGAATAAATATACAACTAGGAGCACTTTATAAAAGTGTCTTTCACATGGCAAAAAGCTAAAGAGAAGCATGATTTCATTTTGTAGCATATTTTGAAATTTTGTCATCATAAGTCCATCAAATATTCAATAAAATCATGTAGTTCATGTATAATGTTGATATATTTTACTGTTTTTACCACAAATTATGCTAACAATAACATACCATACATTTACAGGGGGTGACCAAGCCAATACAGAGAATGTTGTTGATATACAAGTGAAAGGTATATTTATGAACAAATACGTAACTGTATCTTCTTTTAATATACCCTTTCAAGGATGTTCATTGTGATTTATAATAGCAATAATAAAACAAGTATTTCGGTAGTGGATCTTGCACATACACTGTAAATGTATGAAGACGTTATAATGGTTGGTTTTGTTCTAGGTGATAGTGGTTCAGTTTTAGCAGGTCTGCTCTCAGTAGATGACTTTCAGGCCCACTATGGCAGTGCAGCATCTGCAACCTTCAACAGTTACATACAGGACCCTGTATACACTGCCAATGAGGTCTCAAGAACACTACATCAGAGGTAAATATGACAGTTACTACTGGTATTTGACTGGATTGGTAAATTCAGTTGCACTTTTGGTAGACAAAATGAAACACACGAGTAAATAAAAAGCAAACCCTTCTGCAGTACTTTAATAATATTTATTAATAATAATAATAATAATAATATAATGATGATAATAATAATAATAATAATAATAATAATAATAATAATAATATTTATTTATAGTCTAAAATCCAACATGTGTTCAGTAGACTTTACAAAAATTATAAAATTCAAATTAAAAGAAAAATATTGCTAATGGTTATAAGATGAAAGGATATATAAAATGGTTAAAAAAAGGGGGAAATTTAAAACTATGACTAAGAACAGTTTTTCTTAAGAAGTGTTTTTTTTTAAAGAATTTAAATATAATACTGTTTAAAAAGGTGGGTTTTTAGTTCCTTTTTAAAATGTCCAGGGTCCACAATTTGTCTAAGACTGATGGGTAAAATATTCCATTCTTTTGGTGCTGCAAATTTAAAAGTTTTATCACCGTATGATACTAATCTTGCCTTATAAACCTTAAGAAGAAGGTGATCACCTGATCTGAGATTTCTTGATGGCACGTAGTGTGAAACCAGTTTATTTAAATAAGAAGGTGCAAGTTTATAAAATGCTGCATGTGCAAATGTTAAAAGTTTGAATAAAATGCGTGCTCGGACAGGGAGCCAGTGCAACATCATTAAAACAGGAGTAATGTGGTTGTCTTTTGGAATGCGGGTCAATAGGCGAGCAGATATATTCTGTACACGCTGTAGCCGTTTGATTTGTTCCTCTGAAGATAAAGAAGGGAGTTGCAGAAATCAAGTCTCGATGTAACCAGGGCATGTATAACTGTTGCTGTAGAAGAGTCGGTTAAATGTTTAAACAATGTAGGCTTAACATGATTGATCGGAAAATTGCTCATTGAATGGGGCAGAGATTTCATTGCTGTAACAATAAAGTCGATTGCAACTGTCTTATGGAAATGTCGTTCTTCTTAGAATTCGCGGCACAACGGACACCTCTTTTTTTGTGTCTCCGGCAGGCCATGCGATCCTTACTGACAATCTGGAAGTGGAAGTAGAATTTGACCCAGATTCCGTAAGGCAAGGATTACAACCGGAGCTGATATATTGGAACACAGGTAATATTAGCTTTTTAGAATTTATTTAGAATTTGGGCAAAAAACCAACAGACATGGCTTTTACTTTTTTACATTCGTAAAGAAATGATGGATCTTGTAGGTAACTGTCCGAAAATTATAATTTTCATAATCATATAGTACGACATTAAACGTAACTGTACACTGGATAATAACTGTACGCATTTTTGCATTGGCGACCCTTTCCACTTCAACACATATGGATTGCCAAATCCATTAATTCATACTTTTATGTTTATGGATCAGTTCGTTTATGATCATTTATTAATAAACTTAATCTATTGATCTACCCAGAAACACGACGATGGCATCAGATAAACGAAGATTGTGATGTAGTTCAATCAGTGGACTTTAAGACTAAAACCATCAGAGCACGGGTACGTATTATTAAACATGCGCTAATTAACAGAGGACCAACTTACTCTTGCCGCTGTAGGTTTTATTATCAACGTGTATTTTTCCTAAAGTTTAATTAATACTGTACTATAATAATATTAATATTTTTAATAAGTTTATTTGAAAAATTGCAACCAGTTTATGGGTTTATAGATTAATGATTCCGAATTAAATGTGTAAATTAATATTTACATAGAATAAAGGATATAGCGAAGATTATGATTGAGTTCGGACTAAAACACAAAAAGTTAAAGAAAACTTTCATTCGTTCATTGAAGTTGGATTGGTTTTATATTAGTTTTCTGTGTGATCTTGAGGTTAAGTTGTGATTAAGTACGTATGTACGTATAATTTTGCATAAATAAATATGGAATATCTCAAAATAAAGTATATTTTCTCTTCAGGTGTGTCGCCTCAACCAGCCCCGGCATGATGCCCCTCACAAAAGGTCGACTAGTACACAGATTTCGCCCACACAATTAGCACTGGTTATTGTGAGTCCAGATATCGTGAATAACCCACCAACGCTTACCACAACCGATCTCTACCTTATGGAGGATCAAAAAGACTTCAGTGAGATCCTATCCTTTCACGACCCGGAAGATGACGATGTATTATTTGAGCTGGCCAGATCACCACACCATGGGTACGCTAATGTCTCCTCTCATGGCGTGCTGTCATACATACCAAAGGAAGATTTCAGTGGGACAGATAAAGTGACCGTGAGGCTGACAGAAGTAACTTCCGCAGTTAAGAACATTCGCACGCATAGTGTGACATCAGAGGTAAAGCTGCATGTTAACGGCACCAACGACCCCGCATTGCTTTATTTCAGAAGGCAAGGTTCTACCAAGAAGGTTGAAAATCCGACAACCGTCAACCTTTCCATCGAAGGCAGAACAGAACTGAAATATTTAGGAGATCTGATTTTGTTCGATCCAGATAAGAACGAGAGACTGCGGTTTATCGCAAACGGGCTCCTGGCTGAAAACTATACCATAATCTTCAACGAAACTAAAAATACTGAACAAAACTACTTCCATGAAATGAAAATGAATGGTTCTGTTAAAGTTGCCAAACTTTACATCAACTCATCTCGGTACTTCCACGGAGAAGTGACATTCAATGTAACAGGAAAAGACTCAAAGAAGCGATCGCCGTTTGCTCCGATGGTTTTTTTCCACGTTTATGTTCTCGCCAATCCATGTGAATTCGGTCAATGTCTTGGAGATAACCACGATCGGAAGTGTGCAGCATTTGGTCGATCCACTTCATTTAATGGCTACAGTTGCCTCTGTGACCCCGGCTACCATGGTCAGCGCTGTGAGAGTGAGATCAACGAATGTGCCGTTGAGCCATGCCCTACGTTCTACGACTGTGTGGATAAGATAGCTCATCACGAGTGCATCCTCAATCATTGGAAGTTGCCTGTCACTTGTGTGTTCTTGCTCTTGGCTGGGATCTCATTGCTAGTTGGTGCTTTCATCTTTAAGAAGAAGTTGGCGTCCAACACCAAAGTGAAACCTCTCAGGTCAGTTAGGCGATTTTAAATATTGGTATGATGAAGTCATTCAGTTAATCTCCGTGCATTTATGTATGTATAATGATGGTTTTAATCAATTTAGAATCGCCTATTTAGAATGAAATCAGTGAACCACTATATTTCATTTTCACAGGAGAGACCCAGACGTAGACACAGTGTCCATGAAAGAAGTGATGCGTTGGCAGCAAGAACCAGAAACACCGACGGCCGTCCGTGAACGTAAGCCAAATCCACAGATTCCCACTAAGCAGGCTGTTTATTCTATGCCAGGAAGCGTGGATGATTTAGAAGTAGAAGACGCTGATAACCCGTTTGAAGAATATCCCGGTGTTGATGAAAGTCACAGTGTAGCGCCGGAGAGTGATGTCACAAGCACCCCCGTGGAGCCACCTGTGGATGTGTCTAGCGGGAACCAAGTGGAAGAAGATGCAGATGCTATGCCAGGCCTTGCGATGTTAACTGGGCTGATGGCGCCAGTGGGGGCTGTACCTCGCCCGAAACCTAAGCTGATCCAAGTCCAGGCCGTGACTAAGCATGAGTTTAAGGAGCCACAATGGAAACGGCCTAAACATGGCCGCCGTCCAGGAAAAGATCGTCTGGATGAATCATCCGCTTAAACAAGAGTGACAACAAACTCAGTGTCCTCAAATAGATATAGAAATTACTAGCTTGTATTTAGTTTTTACCCTCGGTGACGATATTATGATCGTTTGCAAATACAGTGTGACGCTTCATACTATAGCCGTTTATCCATTAGAAAATTAATAGTTATATTTTTAACAGTGATTGTCGTTTTTTGTTTTCTCCAATTTTAGTAGCTGTACATTATACGGATCATATTGAAAGTTTTGTATCTTACAGGTAGTAAGAGTCACTGGATCATATTGAAAGTTTTGTATCTTACAGGTCGTAAGAGTTACTGGATCATATTGGAAGTTTTTTATCTTACAGGTAGTAAGAGTTACTGGGCCGGACGGGGTAAAACGAGAGCACTGTGTCATACCATATGTCTTCAGTGCCTGTAGGTAAATTTAGATTGCTTTGTCAAACCTGCTTCATAAATGATAATCAATAGTGTTTTGCGTCATTGAACTTGACATATTCAAGAGACCGTTGCTTTAATACAGGTTACTTCGTGTGGAATTTGCTTTTCCTCAAATAAATAGGTTTTGACACTATATCCAAGCAATGTAATATAATAAGTTGTGTTCGCGACCCACTTGTCTTGATTGACTAAGCTTTCAGAGGAGGTACTTCTATTGACAGTGAATGTTTTCTTATGTACTGCTAGAGCGGACTAATTAAATTGATAATTAATGCTTTCGTCTACACGTTTGCATCGCTGTCTTCCTATTACAATGTTAACAATTTTCACAACGCTTTGCTGAAAAAAAAAGTCGAGGAAAGCTATTTACAGGTAAAAAAATATATTTCCTTCAAATCAATATTCTTGTTTTATTGGCATTTTGAAAAGCTCGAAATCGAAATTTCCTTTAAAAAGCAATTTTCCAATTCACTCAGTCTCTGCACTTGAATTTGACGTTTTATAGCATTTTATCTATTTTTTGGTTCTAAATTTATGTCGTAACTATTATACCGCCATGTCATGTCCTATACATTTCACATGGGAATATTGGCATTAGGTACATGTACGTTTATTTGAGGAGTTTAATCGTTTGTAATGTCCGAATTGGGATAGATAAGTAAGTTTGCGGGATATGTAAACAAAGACATTTGATTTTGAGACATTTAAAACGTGGATAGTACACCTAATGATATTAAGAAAAAGTGACTTAGTCAATTTGAATTAAGGAAAATATTCAACCACGGCACATGGTGCATCCCAAGTAACGAATAATATCTCCAAATTGACCTCTTCCATAAAAAAGCCCTCTTGCGAAAAAAATGACTCCTCTGGAAAATCGTAATTAAGGTAAACAATCACAGCGCGAGATTCCTTTTTTTGCATGAGAAATGATGCCGTATATACACATAAGAACATAGGGCAGACAAACACACAAAGTCAACATTTTTGGCAAAAACAGTAGTTTTTAAAACTTTAATGCCTGATATATTCTGCGGACAATAAGCAAATAGATAAAAAGGTAAGGTAAGACATAGCAGTCATTAAGACCAAACACGGGCGGTACGTATCCTTACAAATATTTTACAAATTGTGTAGAAAATATGCATGAAATATATGTAATGAAGTGAAAATGAAAAAATAGAAAAAAAAGAATCAATAACAAGAGCTATGTTTAAATGGATCAAATTATGTGGTGAAAAATATAAATCAAATGGAATCCTACAGGTTTTACCAGAAATGATTGACGGGAGAATTTCAGATTCAAAGAAAATGAGTTAGAAGAAAGAATACAAAGTAGACCCAGGAGAACAGTGTGGAGTTGTATACCAGTGTGAGTGTCAGGTGTGTGGAGAGAAATACATCGGAGAGACAGGACGTTCCTTAACAGAAAGAATCGCTGAACATCAAAAATCGATTAAAAAACATGATAAAAAATCTGCCCTCAGCCAACACCAGGAACAGACATGGGCATTGTATAACATCAACAACCATAGAAGACATAAAAATCTTGGAAAGAGCCACGAGATCTACACCGGAAAGTTCTTGAAGCCATTAACATCCGCTTATATGGGGCCAAGTTGAATCGGAATGATGGGACTGAGCTACCCAACCTCTACCTACCACTCCTAAGGGAGGGGCAGGCAAGGGGGGGATCTGACCAAATAGCACACCACAGGGTGTGACAGGTTGTCATACCTGTCACAACCTCATTCCTTGATGAAATCTGACTGCAAGCAGATGAAATATTGGATGGTAAGATCAAACTAATATAAAATAGCTATAGACAAAAAAATCTTCACAAGTCTAAAAGAATACCTCGACTTTCACCCCACAGATTCAAGTGTCAGATTCAAGTCTGCTTTCTTGTATTACCGTATGTATTACAACGATGAAAGTGGAGTTGCATGTACCTACATGCGGTCACCCCTTTGAACCTCTTTACGGGATTAATTTTTTTTTCGTTTAACAAGTTTGTTTGTTTTTTTTTTTTTTAATATAGACAATGTGACTCTACACAAAGTTGACCAAATTAAAAAAACCGATGCCACTGGTTTTTACAGATTTTGGCCCACTAATCTCAATCTCTTTTTTTACGAACATATATGTAACTAATGGTGGGCAGACCCTCTGTCACACTGACCCCCATTTTCAATCAATTCAATGTCTCAATAATCTAAGCTCATTGTCATATTAAGTTCCACATTTAGAATCACGCGACATGTGACTGACAGTAAGTACACATACTTTAATAAAGCGTCATGTAGTTTTTCAAACAGCACGACCAAAAGTGGTGTGCTTCATTCATCAGTGTCTCAGTTCCGCATTAACCAGTTCAACTCCCAGTGGTGAAGGTCACGTTTCATGTCGTTTCTGGCTTTGCTATTCTCTAAACTGCGTCGCACGCGGTGGCGAGGCACATCATCTACTGTGAACGGAGAAATGGCCACTCTACTGCGCGTCGGACACGCCGAGCCTGCCCAGTTCTCTATCTTGCGCTGAAGACCCTCGTTGATGTAGTCCTTGTTGGCATCGGGGGTCACGTGGAATGTCACATTGGTCACCTTGGAGTTGTGTACCAGCAAAATCTAACAAAAGAAATAAAAATAATGGTGGAACTAAAACTCAAAAAAATTGCAGCCTGCAGTAGGGATACTACCGTGTAAGTGATCGTATCTAGTACTTGCTGGCAGATATGCCGAAGTTGAACCATCTGTAAAGGATTCTCGAATAATTTTGCCATTTATGATTACTTTATTTTATTATGATTAACTATATATAGTAATGTCGTCGTATAATGTCAATTCTGACATACTCCAAGGAATTCTGCACCACTCGGAAATTATCATTATGATATTAAAACTTACCTTAATCACATTATGTAGAGCAGAGAGGTCGGTATCTCGCTCAATATACACCCTAACGTGACCAGAAGCACGCATTGCCATCACTTGCTCTAACAAGTCCATTATTGGACTCGGGTTTTCTGCCCCACTGTACAGGCGTTTTTCAATGTCATTATTTTCTGGTCGATAGGTGGCCGTCACAGTATCAACTATGGGATGAAAACAGAAATACTTAAAGTGAAGTAAATTTAAAAGTAAAGACATCATTTCAATGAATGTGTACATATCAAAATGCAAACAGCACGTTTATGTTTTCTCATTTCTAGATTTTTAATTTCGTAATCCGTAAAAAATGCGTTTTCTATTTTAAGGAAAAAAACAGGAAGTTGTTGGCGAGATTAAATAATCAAAATCTAGACATGCTTTTACTGTACTACATTCAATGTACATGTACATTGTTATAAAAGCACCAATTTTAAGTACTGAGTAAAGCTTTAGAAGTAAAATATCTCTGTACAGTGGATGTTCGTACCCAGAATCCCGTGTAATATTGTGTTCTCCAGGCAGACCATCTGGTCACACGATAAGTGATGGACAGTGGAGTTTGGATTCTCGGTGTTAAAGAACGCCGCCTTGTTGTGCATATCTCTAAACGGAGTACTGGCTTTGGGTATGAAATCGCCCAGGAACGCCAGACATGAGCGTACTTTCTTTTCCCAAACAGACCCTGAAAAAAGGTTAAAAGTAATTGATACACTTTTCGTACGCCGAAATATTTGAAAATATTTGCATTCAAGTAGAAATACACTAAATGCATGCACGTGTGGCAATATCATTATCTATGTCTTATATGAAGGCCTATATTTTTAGCATTTTGTCAGAGGTAATCTGCAATTGACTCAAGTACCTGTTGACGGGTTTAATTAATGTATACAATATTTCCCCAAACCGTTCTGACCTGATCCCTTGCACTTTCCACACGCGTTTACGAAACAGTCCCTGGCATTTCCTGCTTTCAGTGTTCGTGATCCCACAGCGGATTGAACCTTTTTCATTAGGGCTTTTAGTTCCTTTTCCCTATGTGATTTAGTATCTTGGCAAAATGGTGATGTCTGTGCTGAATTACAGTCTCGTCTGCATAAAGAAATTGTGAAGTGAATAAACTAGGGTATCGCTAAATAGTTCACAACTGTCTTGAAACTTTTGATGATTGATGTCGCTACGAAGGGAAGAGATGACAATTTCACAACTAATCTAAGAGAAAAATTAAAATACATTAATTCCCAACTGTCTTCAAAATAATCACAAACAAAATATCAAAATTGATTTGAGAGTAAAAATGAGAATTAATTAATATTCCCTAGATCTACAACAAATTTTGTCATATGGTAAATGTTGGAATACACTGGAGGTTAATCATAAACTATTAAGCCATGTTCAAATATCTCTAAGTTCATGGCCCCGTTTAGATTCCTGGCGACCTGTTGTAATGGAAAATGCAACTTACTTTTCCGTTAAGTGGTATACATGGGTAATTTGTAGAGACAAAACATTAAGCCCGCTAAATACTGTTTTGTTTTTGTACATAAGATGTTTCATCAAGAGGGCAGATGTAGTCCAATTTGTCTTTTGTTGGTGATTCTGCTTCAGGTGGCTGAGTGTAGTTGTTCGGTGAAGTACCGTTGGTAAGAGTAGCAATCATCACATCCGCGTCCGAACTGATTACTTTCCAACCCCCCATAATTAACGCAGCCAGGAATAGGCGCTGAAATAGGGGGTATTATATCAGAAATTAATTTTTGTAATTATCTATCCGTAAAATAAGAATCGTTACATTATCACATATTTTTCCAGATGGAAAATATATTATAATATGCACATTGATCAAATTATAAAGAAAATCTCCAGATATAAACAAAAGTCAGTCAAGTATCACTCATCCCAGGCTGCAGGGCAGATAAAGAGAATTGAATGAAGCGCGAGTGATCTGGCAACCCTACAAATTCGTCATAATGATTCATGGGCAAACAATAGAAGCATGAAATTAACACCTTTTACAGTTTGAAGGACGACACCTAATGAGGCTTTTGTTTTTTTCCCTGGGTGGTTATTACAAAGTAAGAATGTTGACGTAAGTGTTATCTGCTTCCTGGTGAAGACTTTTGCGTGTTCAAAGGAACAATGGAAATGTCATTTCAAAACAAAGAGCCACATTTCCCTACTTAGGTGGCCAAAATATTGTCAATGAAACGCAAAAAAAAAAGACAAAATCACCAGCTGTTACTGACTGAGTCTAACTCAAATGCAAAAAGGTACGCACAGCGACAAAGCGCTATTGTGAACAATGACCCGACGATGAGATCAATAGATGTATAAATGACTTATTGTACTATAAAATTGTACCCCTGCCCCTACTTGTATATAATTACACACATAAGGCCACCCTATACCAGAGTTGCAGATTGATTTTTCATTCTTTTCAGTCTCTTGCACTGAAGAAAAATACTCATATATAATTTGCGGTCCTAGTAGAGGGTCGGTCTTCTCTCATTTTTCTCAAATCAAAATAAACTAGCAAACATGAAAATTGACAAGCTGTATTAGGATTTAAAGTGAAGTGTTGAGAACCCTTTAACAAGGTGTATGGTAATATGCACGTTTAGACAATTTTTAATTTTAATTTCATTTAAATTTAATTTTAATTTCAATTAAATTAAAATTTAATTTTAATTAAAATTGATATTGCCGAAATTAGTAAATGTCGTTTGCGTCATGTATCAATATTTATGCGCATAATAGTACCTACGTTATAAACATTCAGCAAAGATCTTTGGAAGGCCGCTCTTTCGTCGTTTATATCAAATGAAAACTATCTGATACCCATCGTATCAATCATTATACCATGATAAGCGATTAGCATACTAATTTATGTCCCCAGTCATAATAACTTTAACAATTACAACAAACCTCCCTACTCTGCTTTTCGTTGCAAAAACAATTAGCCACAACTGTTTTAATATTAAAAGATATCAATAATAATGACAATTTCAAAATTTCAAAAGTACCTTTGGAGTACGAACTCTCGTCGGGCAGGTTACAACGTTTGCAACGACGTTAACCGTTATTCCACCAATTCTATTATACTTTCACACCGATATCGAGAGATCTGTATTGCCGGGCATGCCGAAGCTTTGCGGAAATTGCCGAAGGCTAGGAAAATTCTTCAAAATATATTTTTATTACTTTTAATCAAATCCAGACTATCTCTCATTGCCCTGAGGTATGGCTAAAACCTTTCAGTTGTCATCAGACTTTGTAATTTAGGAGAAAAAAGTGAAACAGGAACTTCTGGTGATGAATAATATATTATAGTGCTGCAAGGTCTTGTTTTCTATCCCTGATGTACGAGTAGCTTTTTCTACAGTTTCTATAATTCTCTTAACGTATGAAAATATGCAGGTTTTCTGATACAATAAGACTTTGATAAAATCAAAACCAATAATACTTTTCAAGTCGCGAGTCGGGATAAATATCGGCAAGGTGGAGATATGTCCCGCCGGCGCTTCCGCAACAGCAAGACTGAAGGACGCAAGTTACAAAGCAAAACATGTTTAGTCAAGTTAAAGACTTAATTACCGGCCTAACAGCGGCGATAGTGACTCCCGCTGTGAGCGACTTGCGCTGTCTATCGTAATCCCCCTATCATTAACACTGTCGGGGGCACACGCACGTTCGCACGTGCGTGTGCTATTAAAGTGACCGGGGACTAAATAGCTACACGGTACGTCACAGCTTTGACCGCCAGGAGCTGACTTTCCCGCCTTGTGCTGACGGTATCTAGTGCAGACGAGACAAAAGGCAAAGTTGCTGATGCGGAGCTTAAAGTTTGAACTAAGAATACATGTTGTATCTTGCAGTCGAATGTCAGTACCACAACACAAGCAACATTCTGATTTTGGTCTAGCCATTGCGCAGCCCTTATAGTGGTATCGGGCATACAGTATAGCTGTCAAAATTGCCACAGGGGAAACACGTGTATCTGCTTATATCTTAAGGAGCAAATGTTTTTTGATAGGCAAAAAATAAAAAAAAAAAAAAAAACATTTGATATATCTTTTTCTTTTAGAAAGATATTATTTATTTTTCACTTAACATCTTAAATACAGTAAATAAAATTAGATAAAGAAGAATTGAGCTGTTTTACGTTTCATTTTGGTCTAATGACATTCAACTGCAGATTCACTGCGGAGCAGTTCTACATGATTGTCGGAAATCGAACATGGTCGCTTTTCCTCAGGGCTAGTAAAAGCGATCCCATCACAATATTTTAACAAGCTAGCTTTTACTGTGAACTGACACTCAGGGTAACTGAGCGTGGCTTGTGTAGAAATTTTGCAATAACATAGGGACCATTCCCATGGATATTTGGAGCGATCCAACTCCCCGAGGAGTCTTACTAAATTGCTATCGACTTAATCCGCTTAAATGTCTGTCATAGAGGCTACATAGGCCGTAAATCCATGCAGTTTCGTATTATTTCGCACGGCCAACTCCTTCCACCGCACAGAAGGGATGAACGGGCAATATACACTGTGCGGACTTCGCATATTCTACGTAACCTATAGGGTTTACCAGCCAAAATGGATTTGCCTGGGGTGGGGGGATGTCTTCTACTCATGAATCATTACTCGAACTCCCCCTGCTATGCTTTATCCCATCTTTAATCTGATCATTTAATATTTATTTCCAAATGATTGGCCAAAATTTTTTAACGTATTTTAGAAGTCAGATAGTGGCAAATTTCATGACAATATCTTCATTTTCAGGTAATATAACCATTCAGAGTAGTTAAAGCTAGCGTAACAGCAGTATTGTGATTACCCCCTAGGTGCTGCTAACCTGTTTCTAGGCCAATCTAGTACTCTAAACATATGCTAATTGTACTGACGGTCAATATGCAGTGGTCATTGTTTACCTGGGTTGATAATTGGAGATGCAGACTGTTCAAGTAACAATAAACACGTGTTTAAGTTAATAATACCATTCAGAATATTTAAAGCCAGTGAAAGGAGTAATGATGCATAATTACCCCTAGCTGCTGCTTACTTGTTCAATGGTCAATAGTGTCAAGTGCCTAACGATATTAAGTCCTACACATTTCCACAAGAACAAGTTCGTCGCAAAAAATGAATTCATGAGAGAAGTGAGGGACCTGACTGATTTTAACGACCGAAGTGGGTAAAACGCCCCCGCCCCCCCAACTCGCTGACTGCCACTCTCTACTTCTGCTATCAATGCAGTTGTACACAGTGACACATATTTTAATAAGTTATCTATTACTTCAAACTTGTCACCCAGCCAAATCAGGTGATGTTGTCAGTAATCAGGACCTAAGTCAAGGTTGTACTAACAGGGAACATGTGATATCAGTAATAAATTATTTGCGCATGAATATGGGATTTAAACCAAACCAAAAATAAATGATAAAGATATTCTGATAGCAGCATTTTAGCTACAGCTGCCAACTACCGTCCTAGTATTTAGTTTGTGTATATATTTCCGTCTACCATACGAAGATTGGATGCGATTTTAACGACAGAAAATACAATACAAAGGATGTGATAATGATATCGCTAAACGATTTTGACGGAATATAGTGACTAGCCTAATCCTCTGGTCGCCTGGGTAGGCACGCTCCCTTAGAGTACTTATGTAAACAAAAGGTCTTCCATAGAGAACTATCCTTTTGTTCAACACCCAGCAAAATCAGCGTGCAGTGGATTATGTATATAGTGACACTATACAGCTAACTGCAGTTAAATAAGTGAAAGTTGTTATTTGATTCATTCTGCTATGTCGCACGTTGTGGACCAGCCCAATGGTTCATTCACTCATTCTTTTCTGAAGATTGGTGTTGCAGATTTTGAGTACTTTATTATTTACCCGCCTTCTTACAAGAGAAAGGGGAAGGGAGCGAAACAGAGATAGTGTCGAATAAAATGGGTAAAATGAGTAATACAATATATTAATTAAAGGGACTCGCGGTGGAAGAAACGATAGACTGTTTTGCATCAAGGTGATGGCCCATAACAGTACTTTAAATACAGACGCATTGTTGTATGACTTATATTTGTACCGACTTATATTTTACTCTCGTTCATTTCTAGGAGCTAGTTCCTTGAATGGAATTTTACTTTGTGACATTAAGTAATTAAAAAAACACGCCTGTTGAAAAGGGGGCTTTTCGTAACTAGTACATGTACAGGTCCACAGGTAAGTTGTTCAGAAAAACATCGCCGCCGTTCGTCGCCGCTACCTTCAGGAAAGCGTATCCTTCGCTTGTATCACCGGCATTTTTATGTTATCTGACAAGTTAGGGCAGATGTCAATTTACGTTTTAGCTATTAATTCTGTCAGATTCATAGCCATGACGCAAAGCCATCAGAGTAACTGTTTAAATTTCAAAACATTCTATTTTGTTTTCTTCCTAATATTTTATTTTATTATCAGTGGAAAAGTTTTCCATGTTCAACTTCTCAAACGTGTACGTACACTATTCTGGACTATTTTATTTTTATCCAACTACACATACAGATACCACTAACTGGCCCCCGCCCCCATAAACAAACACACCCCTCCTTGCTTAACTTTGCCGTTTCGCGTCACTTGTTGCACACACTGAAGACCTGAGGCAAGTGTGATACCATTCATTGTATGATAATTTAAGTTAGCCTTCACATTTTACAGACAAAATTCTTCAGACCTTTCAACACTACGGTCTCCTCGAGAATCTCCCCATTTAGGGATATATCTCCTGATTCAGCATAAACACTCTGATTTATCAGACTAGAACGCCTTACGAAAAAATGTGTCGCTAGATCTTGTAAACACTCAGCGAAATGCACCTAGTGACTATATTCAATGTGCAGTCACTTAACTGCTTTCTCGGTTTCATGTATTGACGATAGTAATTGTAGTGAAAAAAAGGAGGAGGAAATGTGAAAACAAAACAACGTCGGGTCTTTGTGTGGCTTTCTCCCTAAACACTTTCTATGTTACTGTCAAAGAAAAAGGAACCGAGATAGCAATCATTTAAGCCGCCGCTGCTGCTTTTACAGGTAGACTTCCTCGTTTATTATTTAAATGGCCCCCTCCCCCAGCAGACCCAACTTGAAGAATGTCATAGTAGCTACAGTACACTGTCCAAGCAAGGTGTTACTACTGTTATAGCTCCTTGGTCCAAGTTATGAAATGCTTAAGCACAAAACGATAATTTGAGGGTATTTTTTCATTCAAGACAAAATTCAGTATCTATGTGTGACGATAGGGACTTTACAAAGCTTTACGTGGACTTAATTATATTCCAGTAACATATGAAGTTAGGCGAGCGACGTAATTGTACCTCAACCTGAGGTATCCCCGATGAAAGCACCAGGATGAACACTGAAAAGCGAGTACAATAATTAACTTTTTTAAATATCGATAACAACAATGACTGAGTCGTAAAAGGGTTTATGGACTTCTTAATGGACTTCTTTGCCAGCCATATAAAACAATTCATTTCGAAATTAAAAGAAGCAGTTTTTTCGGGGGTCGTGGGAAGGGGGAGACATAGCTTTACTGAATATACGACAATTTAAACAAAACCAGTCTGCAAGGCTTGCTTCGATTTGGTGTTAACCTGACACTGGTTTTAAAAGAACAAATATAAATATGTTGGAGGGATTAAATCAGCGACATCGTTATATTTTAACTAAATGTGGTCATTTACACAGTAACGCAGATGGTATTTATAAGTTGTCTGTCGTTCAGCACGCATTACAGTGAGAGTAGCCCTATAGTGACGATGATCAATCCAAGCACAATCTAGGCAAGTATTGTTTACAAAATTGATCATGATGAATAAACTTACGCTTTAATAAATAATCAGCACACGGTTCGGTTATTGTCACTTAAAGCTTTCGATCAAAGACGTTCAATGAAATCACAAATCATTTAAGAATCGACAGGTTCAAGGGGCAGTTTTTGTTTTAGCTAGGGGGACTTCAGGTTCAGGTAGAGGGTTCAGTGTAGACGATTCCTCGGGTTATAGCAGCACCACGCCATAGGTCTAAACGAGTTGAATAGAAGCTTTTGTCCAAGAATCCTATACCAAACTACTGAGCTACTACAATTACAATTAAGAGATCAGTTGCATACTTGATTGTTTTTTCCCATGTATCACATGTATGCATTCTTACTTGAGTGATCTAAAACAAGTCGCTAGTGTACCCTGTTTGTACATGTAACTGTAGCCAAATATGTTCGACATGACGTTTCTGAACGGCAGCCGGAGACAATAATTGTATAGGTATGATTTAAGCTTGTTCGAGAGATAATAACAGTCGCGTTTAACAATAGATAGCGAGCTATAGTAAGACCCCCCTCCTCTTTAACTGATGATTTACACTGTTAATTGACCGTACTCTCATGTATTGTGTGATCACAATGCCAGACTTCCCCCTGTTGCACGTTGGAGTTGGATTGTCCGTGCGCCTCTGTCAATGCACCTCATTTAATTTAAATATTATAATATAAATATAGTATAAGTGATATATTTGCCATATATTGTTCCTTTTTGAAAATCATATTCGCTGTTTCTTTTCTTATTCCTAATTCATTATCATCCATGTTTTATAAATACTCGAATTTAGTAAGTTCATAAATAAATTATACATTTATAAATTAATGCAATAAGAATTTTTTAGGGTTGATGCTGACGCGTATGCATGTAAATCAAACAAACAATACTTAGTTAAAAGTTTGGCTACGGAAAAATTTATAATGAATGAAATAACTGATAACAAATTCAACGAGCAGTTTGTTAGCAACACTAAAAACATAATCAGCTGCGCGTGCCAAAGTAGCGAACAACGGGAGACGGTTTAGTGGCACGTGGTAGTACGTGTTCAAGCCTCGCCTCTCACAGCTGTAATCCTATCGCCACAACAAACAATGGGGACCTTCTGGCTGATGTATCCTGCTGTTAATAACACCTAGTTACAGCGGATTGTCGCGGTCACGCTGGACCACAGAAACCGGCGTCATGGGGTTCAATAGCCAAAGGTATTGTGTTATTACGCCTAAACTATAGACCTTTTTCATCTTTTCCGGAAATGAAATTGCATTGTGGGTAAAGGAGCCATCTGGTCACCATTACGTATAGCATCAGATACTCAAATCATGCCTGGATTTACTTGCTGTGTGCCTCACTGTTACAACAACAATAAGAAAGATAGACATTTGAGCTTTTATAGGTTCCCAGCGGACACGGAGGAACGGAAAATATGGGTTGATAGCATTGGTAGAGCTGGGAAGAAAGGGAAGTTCAGTAGGTTTGAGCCAACAATAGGGCACCGCGTTTGCTCTGAACACTTCGAAGGAGGGAAGAAAACGTACGATAACAGAAGACCGACGGTATTTACATACAAAAAAGAAAAGGTAACTCAATCTAGGAGAACTTTGATAAGACAAACACCACCTGTCACTGAGTCTGCATTGTCGGAAAATGCAAAAAGAGACGTCGGACATCACGACGACCATTCCTACAGCATGCCACATTCAGACATGGAGAACCTTCTCAAAGCAGTGAAAGAAAAAAGTGGGATTATTCATGAAATGGAGGACAAATTGAGTGATATACAAAAAGAACTTTCAGAGACAATACAGCATCTTAAGCAATGCCAGACCGATTTGGAACAGACAAAGAATAATGCAGAGGAAAATGATGTGTGGGAAGAGCGTTATAAAGATCTCCATAAAAAACTTGAAGAAGAGAAGAGGAAAGAAAACACTTTCAGCATGGAGTCTTTGAAAGAGAAACCAGAAGCTATCAAGTTTTACACGGGGTTTTCTTCTTATGCAGAATTCAAGAACTTTCATGACTTTCTGTCTCCAGATATTTCTGATATGCACTACTGGGGTTCAACTTACCATGACAAAGACACACCAAGAGGAAAATACACCCGTTCTTTAGATTCAGAAGATGAATTACTTCTTGTCTTGGCCAGGCTGAGAGTTGGATTACTAGAAGAAGACCTAGCTTTCAGGTATAAGCTAATATTAATGTACTACATAGACTGACAGTACAGTACTTATATGTACTGTATAATACTATTCTTTAAATATAATATTCAAGTTCATGTTGGAATTTACACCTTTAATTTATGTTAACTTTTTTGAGAAAAATGATTAATTTAAAGAAACTGACATAGCATTTGTTTCATTGATTGGTTTTTTTTTTTCATGTGTTTATAGGATGGGAGTAGGTGTAGCAACAGTTTCAAGGATTTGCAGGACATATTTTGAGCTGATGCATTTTCGCTTCCGGCAGTTGCCCATCTGGCCATCTAAAGAAATTGTAGAAGCTACTATGCCACAGTGCTTCAAAGAAGAGTATCCATCTACGAGGGTCATTTTGGACTGTACAGAACTTTTCATTGAAAGGCCATCAGGATACGTTACACAGTCAGAGACATATTCTTCCTACAAAAGTCACAATACTGCCAAAGGACTTGTGGGAATAGCACCAAATGGATTTATCACTTATGTGTCAGATTTGGCTCCTGGACGCATGTCAGACAAAGAAATGACAGAACTTAGTGGACTTGTGGATTTGATGGACGAGGGAGATTCTGTCATGGCAGACCGAGGATTCCTAATTGATGAATATCTTGCGAAGAGGAAGGTAAAATTGAATATACCTCCATTTATTGGTTCTCTTGGACAACTTAGTCCTGCAGAAGAGGAAGAAACAAGAAGAATTGCCAGGCTCAGAATTCATGTGGAACGTGTTATCGGAAGAATTAAAAACTATCGTTTACTGAATTATGTTTTTCCAAACTCAATGGCTAGTGATTTGAACAAGATATGGGTCATATGTTGTTATTTAGTAAATCTATGCACAGAGCCATTATTGTCCGAATGACTGGTAAAATTATCATGTGCAGACTGAAAACTGTCCAGACTGTTCTGATTAACTAGGATGTCTGAAACGTGAGAAACAAGAATGTGAATATCTTATTAACTTTATTTGGAAAGTAAAAATGTTCCATCACAGATGCCTTTAATCACAGTTACAAAACTTGTTTGTAAGGAAATATTTTCTGAAATGTTAACTTAAGAAGCACTACCACAATTTCTAGAGAGACTTAATCTTACTGATACAGCACCAAGTTACAATAAAATGCACATCACATATTGTGTAAACTACATATAAATATGGTAAATATGATAATAAATCTCATCACACCATGTATAATGTATGTATGTAATAAGTAATACAATGTGTTGAACACTAAAATGGAGAATGTATCCCATCCATGTACATAATAAGTAATACAATGTGTTGAATAATAAAATCTCTCAAATATCATCACAGTTATACATTTACTCAAAATGCTCAGTACCAAAAATTGCCATCATAAATTAAATGCTTTTAATACAGAGAATATCATCACATGTTAAACAATTAAAAAAAAAGGTTTCCATTAAAGAAGACAAATTTACCAAAGTTGTAACACTGGAGCTCATAATTTCTCATTGTCTAACACTTTGACCTGTACTTATAATGATTTGAATGTAAGTACAATCTCTTGCCTCTGAACACGCGTTGGCTCAAAATCTCTGGAACAAGAGCATTCCTGTAGAAATTTGTTATCTTGGGTAAAATTGTAGTCTGCCACAAGACACTATTGAAGTGCACTCTCTGGACAAATACTTCAGCGGACAGGCACCCTTCCCTCTTTCCTGATGTTAAAAAGACTACAAAATCGCACCACTGTCTGTTGGTAACTGCAAGCTGCATCTGGACTTGACAGTAATAAATGTGTTTTTCATTAAGCTTAAGCTTGCAAGTTTTCTGAGAAATTTCCATAGCCGTCTCGTCCTCATGCACTGCATAGCAAGGCACTTCCTCTGCTCCGGGGACAAGACAAAAGTCTTTCCGAGAAGCCACTAGCTCCTGAAGGGTCTGATCTTGGGGGGAAAAGGGGCATTTGACTTCCAATACTCCTTGTGGGGGGTTGTAGCTGTTGTCAGTCACCATCCCATCTACAGAAGCACCCAGAAAATGGTGGTGTGGGTGAATCACCAACCCTGCCTTGTCCACACTGACTGGAGACCCTGTGACTTCTTTCAATATCCTACAGTAAGTTTCGAAAACTTGCAGTTAAAATATATCCTTCATATGGTAACAGTGCAGATATACAGTGTACAACTTAATCAGATTTTGTTTGAATTGTCTTACCATGGGTATGTATGCAATCTTAAATTCCCCCCTCTACATTGGGCATGACATGTGTAGCAATATTTGTGAACAAGGTAAAGTTAAAACTTACTGATTACTGTAATATGCAAAACATAAATGTGCACTCTAAAAGTGTTATTATTATTATTATTATTATTATTGTTACAACACGAGCCAGTGCTTGCAATCTCTTCAAAATATGTGTGTACCTGTAGCAATTAATGGCAACTTCTTCATGTTCAATTCCATGCCTCATGGCAGGACAAGACACTGGTGCATCATACTGCAGCATCTTCTTTAACAAGTTGTCTGGGGGGGTGTCACTCTTCATGCGAACAATGTGGCCTGCATTGGAAGCTGTTATTCTTCCTAAAAACAATAGCAATAAGCAACCTATAATGACATATACATTTGGGTTGATGTGCATTGTGTCGTACTAGTGTTTTCCTATTCTTTTCATTACACCATAATCTAAATGTTGCTCTTTCAAAACCAATCACAGTATCATTGTTGCAAACAGCCCAAATCTAAAATGCAAACCTCATATAGTTAATGCCCACTAGAACCTTACCTTTTCTTTGACTGAACCAATTCTCGCTGTTTGCTTGACCTCTTGTCTCCTTCTCAATCTGCTCAATTTCACCAGGGTTGATAGTGACTGATGTAATATATTTCTCCCGAATCAACCCAAACTCTTCTCCTTCCAAGTCCATGGTATCAGGCACCTCTGGCAGAGCATTTCTTTCTTGTAAAACCTATCACAAGAAAATGTTGAAAATGTCACCCATAAAATGTACCCGCTAGGAACTACTTTAAGGACAAAAGCAGCCATCATGTCGTAAAAAAATATAGAGGTAACAAGCAATGGATGGAAAAAAATTAAATCTAAATGGCTTGATATTGCTAATACAGCACACAGGGCAGTAAAGTAAAAAAAAAAAATTATTTATATATGCTCAAAGAGTGTGTAGAATTATGTACTCACATGTGACTTGGCAGTTTTGACAGGTGGGACTCGCAAGGCATTACAGGTACTTTCTTGTGGTTTCTGCAATTAAACAAAATATTATGTTGGTTGACGTATGAAAACAGACAGTTAAATTTAACAGGTTTTCACATTTAATTTAGAACATAGAACAAAATAATAGTACTGTACACACCATTGCTGGTTAATGCATTGTAACACATTGACAGTAAATTCTGTTCATAAAGCTGTTTATAAAGAAACATGGTTAAAACATTAAATACTTGCTTAGTACAAGTGGAATTGATGTTTTACACTTACATTGTTGCACCATAGCATAAGCAACATAGATCTTCTATGCAAGTTTGCTGGCATGCTGTTGACAAGAGCATCCACTCTTGGTTGTGGCAATGTGCGTCGACATGGGGGCAAAATATCATAGTTGCTCCTCCTTTTCTGGTTTTCTTCATTTCGGGCCTCCTTCCCAGGAACATGCTTTACAAATGACAAACCCGAAAAGGAGTTGGACACCTTTGTCTGTGATCTAGCCTTCCCCCACTCCCTTGGTTTATCAGTGCACGCAACCTCACTGGGGACCTCTGTGGTACCACTAAGCTTTAAGTCATTCAGATAAAATAGAGTGGCCACAACATGTTTACATTTTCCTTTTGCGCCAGCTTTACATGTGCAATATGAGGCAACAACTTGGCCATCGGATGACAGGTCCACCTTTACTTTATATCTGTCTTTGCTGAGACTGGCTCCCACAATTGCTCTCAGGGAAAATTCACCTGCAGCCTTGACTAAAAGGTTCTGTACCTTTAAAAAAAATAATAAAAATATCAATAATAATAATGTTTGTCATCTATAAAGTTGGATTAGACAATAATATAAATAGTTGAATTCACTTACTAAATGAGCACAAATTTAAAGAAATTGTTTCCTAAAGTGTGTGGATGTTTTGATGTTACCTTGCCTGCCTTGAACATTGAATAGCCAGATAATCGGTGTTTTTCAGCGGTCCCACCAGTAAGGGCGTAAATTGAACTTTCGCCAAAAAGGGTTGGCACTCCTAACAAAGATTTTGTCCACTGTTCACTGAAAACAGTGGACTGAGCTGGGATGTCCACAACTCGCTTTTCCCAGACTCCCCCATCTGGATCAATAACTACATTCCTTCCTGGATCCGCTTGATACACCTTACATCTGTAAATTTAAAAAATATATAAGAAAGGCTTACTTTACTTTAATACAATCAGTCCTGTACATACACAAACACACACACACACACATATATATATGCATAAAAAAAACAAAGAGAAATTGTTGACAATGACAATAATAAAAAAAGTATTTTTTTTTCTTCAAACACAATATTTTAGGCACCAAACAAATTTTGTACAACTAAGAACCATTTTACTTGACTTTAAGTTTGTTAATTGAACCAAAAACCCATGGAATAGATATATATATATATACTATATACACATTCACTAGTGAAACAAATGGTAAACAATATAATTATCTAAGAAGCAGTAAAAGTTACAGGTCACACCTATTCAACACAGACCACTGGAAGGTGTTAATTACAGAGGAAAGGTCGTAGATGTGGCACATCTTAACTGAACAGATCACACCTGGTGCCTTATCATGGAATTTAATCAGTTGACCAAATAATAGTGTGCATGTCAGTTTCACCTGTATAGACAGCAACAGGCAATCTTTGCATTGCATTTTTTTTCAAAAACTACTTAATTAAGATATTAATCGCCATGATATACGAAGACATAGAGCATTGCAACATGATATAATGCATACAGTATGTGACACATTAAGGCATGTACCTGTCCACACTAATGACATAAAATAGCGATCTATGGCAGATAAAACTGTGGTGTCAGCTCATTATTATGATTTTATAACAAATATAATGTGTCTCTCTCACATATTTTCACTACGAAAAGTTTTTGTTAACTCTGAAGGAAGTATACGGTCAAGGCTCGGAGGCTTACTAGAAGAGGTGTACCGACAGCACACCATGTTAAAACTGATAAATAAAACAATTGCATTGCTTGACTCACCGTTCAACTAAGTCTGGTTTCTTTCCTGTTGTTGATGCATTTCTGCATTTTAGCCATCTTTTCAGTTCTGGTACTGTACAAGCTTCGAAAGGCTTTTTTATATGCGCGCCCGGTACATCTATCTCACACAGAGGTGCCATGCTAGAGACAGCAGAGGACTATTATGACCCCTGTGGCGCGCGGTTCCTGTCATGCGCACTTCGTATTTCCGGAAAAGATGAAAAAGGTTAATTGTTTGTGCGTTCGAATTTTGACGAGATTTATACGGCTTTCCATTGTTTGTCCGCCCCTTCTATTCACAGGATAGGGATTAAAACGTTATAAACGTTTTTAAAACAATTATTACTACTACTGTATCTCCCCAATGTTTGTTCAGATAAGTCTTTGTTAGAGGTCAGCACCCATGTTATCATTCGCCATAAATAAAATCTCACCATTTGCAGGCGAAGTCGAGATGCTATACACATGCAGAATATCGCTAAAAGTCATCAAACTTTGAAAACTAAGAAGTTTGCAGAGAACAGATTGAAGTGAATATCACTTGCTGCAATGGCAATGATAGCTTATATATAGCGATAAAAGCAATTGCATTTGTAAATAAGGAGGTACAGTTCCAGATGACTACGTGACACTAAAAATATTTTAGGAATCATAATATCAACAACATCATCTTACAACATTTGAGAG